TAGATTGCCTCACTTGTTAGTGATGGGACGAAGATGTATATGAAATAACATTTTCTGTTATCAGTCGTTCTGTTTATCGTCGGTGCTATGTAGTTATCTCATAAGGGAAGATTAAGACGAGGGTATTAGAAGACGAATATGTATATGTTACACTTTGTCTTATGCGTTGTAATTGCTATGTTTCCGTTTTTTCGTGTTTCCAATATAAGCACAGACTAGGTAGGAACCAGCGTTGCTATGTAATTATCTTGCAGAAGACGGGCGAGATAGAGATTTCAAAAGACTTACTCATAGGTTGCACTTCGTATTAAACGTAGCTGAGTTGATGTGTTCTCGCTATTTTTCCGTGTTGTTACGTTTCCAAGCAGTTGTTTTCTCGCTATGTATAAGTGTTGCCGGCGTTGCTATGTAACTATCTTGCAGAGGACGAGTGGGATAAAGATGGCAAAAAACGTACTCATACATTGCACTCCGTATTAAAAGCTGCTGAGTTAAATTTTCCTCGCTTTGTTTCCGGGTTGTTATGTTGTTATGCTGTTGTCTTCTCGCTATGTATAAGTGTTGCCGGCGTTGCTATGTAACTATCTTGCAGAAGACGGTTGTGATAGAGATTTCAAAAGACGTACACATACACTGCACTCCGTAAAACGTTGTTGAGTTTATGTGTTCTCGCTTTGTTTCCGTGTTGCTACGTTGCTATGCTGTTGTTTCCCCACTATAGACGTTGCTATGTCGCTATCGTGTACGGGAAGGATCGAACGGAGATGTACGACAGGAGAAAGCCCAAGCATCGCCTTCGCATCCATTGTGTAATGCTCTTGTTACCGACTTAGCTACATTTGCAAGTCATCCTTGAGAATGGCGCTTTCTGCCGTTGCAACTTCTTAGCGACGTCGTCTAGGCAAATATTGTCAACGACATTTTCTAACAGCGTTGATGAACTTTGCAAACGTAACGAGACGTGGAGAAATCAATTCATTTTAATGTTATCTATTTGAAAAGTCTACAACGCCTCATTAAAATCTGCAAACGTGCTTGCAACATTTATCAATTTCACCAAATACAAGCAATTTGAAACCGACTAGCAGGCGCAATTAATTACATAAGATGTGATCTTACAACCTCTCAATTAGCCATCATAATATCCTCATATAGTTAGAAAGTCGCGGCAAGTGAACCAACGAGAGTGTCTACATTCCAGCCGCAGAAGAACCATCTTAATTGCTGCAATATCATAATTGCCTCGGTAAAACCTGCAGATGAGCAAACTCGTCCGTGATTCAAGCAAGAATCTGTGACATCAACAGCATCACTTTATGACGTAATGTGACACAAGATCACAAGATCCCAGAGTTCCAGGGGCGCTTACGTCACGCTATTGTATTCGCCTACCTCCACCTCCAATTATTACATCAAGGGGAAAGCAGGTGACTTATTTTCTTTTTCTTCTTTGGATTCGTAGATAGATTGATTCGATGGTTGAGGTTGAGGTGAAAGACATCAACCTTGGCTCTGCTGGGAAAACGAAGAACGCAGCCCTACGTCTACGTTGAAAATGACAAAGTGCATACAATGATGAAAAATAAAAAGAGACAGCACAGTTTCATCAGACAGAGCTACCAAAAGTTTGACACATCATGCATCTCTCCTGGTCCAGAAACATGGATGGAATCTGATCAACCTAAATGACTCTGTGATTTTAGAGTAGAGGATTGCATTAGGTGTTACAGTATAAGTATGCACTTTAGGTATCACAAGTAAGAATGACACTTTGGTGCATTCAGCTTCCCATGTACCAAGGTCCTCTGGGCTCTGGAGATATAATGTCAAAGCTTATAGATTCTTCCTGCTTGTCCGTTCGAGATTGAAGCAAAGCAACGATCGATTTCAGTTTAAAATTAATACTTTTCTCCTAGGGTAAGACAAACTATTCATTCCAAACGTTTCTATTAGTACAAAATCTTTACTCCCAGTGGAATTACTACAGTCAAAATCTAAATCCCTTGGAGCTACGCTGGATTCACCTTGTTGACATTTAACATCATAGGGGTGGTTCATTGTTAGCTTGGTGGTTTCAGACGTTACAGCATTCACGTGGTTATCAAGATCTTGCCAGTGCGATCCTCATAAAAGCCAGCAGAGCAACCCTTTTGGGAATCAAAACTATTAAAAATTAACCCGGAAAAACACTTGAATCGCAGTATAGGAATTGAGAAAATGTTCAATATATTCGGGAAATCGACGAAATCGTTGAAACTTAAGTGTAACAAAAACAAAAAACTTAATTTTGATTGTGGTTTTTACTTCAAGATTTCACTAGGTGTAATCCCTAGTATTACAGGTCACCTAAACATAGGTTTACTTCCTACAATGCAACAAACGGTATAAAGATTTGCATTATTGAGCCATTTGCTGCATCTTCGAGTTTCTTTAACTGTAGCTGTAACCTTTGCGAGGCTTTTGGACAAACTTTTACTGCAACTGACCTTTCCTGGGTTTTGGGTTTAGTGGCGTCGCGTACCTGATGTTGAAATACCACTTAAAGTGAAAACAGAATACAGAATCAGAATTATCAACTATCTGCTCAGGTCAGATGTCAAACTTTCTGGCAGTACACTCTAGGCTCAAAACTTTCGATCGTGCAAATATATGGTTTAAAACTGTCTAGGAAATTTGAAACACAAAAGTGGCATAACTTCTCGTACAGTATATAGTCAGAGATGGTTTTATATCCACCCTAGAACTTTTTCGTTGATGAATGCAGATTCGATCCAAGGCCCTATAGCATCTTTGTTAGGCCTCGGTAGAGCCAGCAAAGTTATTACAGTAGAACCTTGATAACACGTCTCTCACAGGGATGATCAAATAAAAATTGGCTCCTTAAGAGGTTTATAATAACATATAATCAAGTGCAATATAAAACGAAAGGTGTTTGAAATTATTGACACTTGTTATTGATACAGTAGTAAAATATCAAAATAAGAAAATAGCCCTTGATCCATGGAAAGCTAGGGAGAGTTGGAAACTACTTGTGCAGTTTAATAATAAAATATTTCTCCAAATCAAATCAACAATTCTTCCTCGCTCTTATTTTCATACGGGGTGGTGTGTCATCTGAAACTGCCTTGTATGACTATAGCCACAGATTCAAGAGTAGACAACAACTATTAAATCTGGCTTTCAGAGCTGGTAATGGGCTCTGGTAGTTTTAGAGTTATTATCTGAATCCTCAGTTATAGCACAGATTTCGCTCTCTACTCTTTAATCTTTGCTAAACTGAGGTTTCAGATAATAAGTCTAAAATCACCAGAGCCACCATCTGGCCATTACCAACTCGGAAAACCAAGCTTCATCTAGTGCACAACATTATTTAACCTATTGTCGTTGGTAAGAAGTAATGGGTAGGAGGTTCTGTTCATTCAACTGTTGTTGGCCATTAGCCGTCATTATTGTATTCAGGTGTATTCAAAGTCAGTCAATCACACGCGACGACACCACTCACATTGACCGCAGCCAAAGGTCGAGCGTCTGGGAATCCTGACGCCAGTTCTTCAGTACTTGAGTATTCCCCGCACGCAGTCAAGGTCGACCGCAACGTGCAGATAACGGTTACACTGCGGCCTTGCGGACAACCGCCACTTTCGCTCTCAGTCAGCGTCAGCCCCTGCAGTTATGCAATGGTAAAACTGTATCACTCTCTCCGCTACCCTGTCTTGCATCGACACACTCCCTACTTACCAGCGTATTGCCACTGATACAACCAACAATCGATACAACTAAAAGTGCGCAGGCTGGCGAAGCTGATCCAGTACCTATTGGGTGCGCCTTTTGTCCTTCAGGCCAGGATTCAAATTCCGAAAATAACCAAAGGCAATTTCTTACTTGACGACGTCGTGACTAAATGCATCGGGCTCAACTTAAACTTAACCTGCAGGTCTACCAATTAAATTATATAAAAAAAAAAACAAAAAAAAAAAAAAAAAAACAGATCCATCTGTGAAGACAGTTATTGCTATATTTTATATCTAATTCTACGAATGTCATGTGGCATTAATGTTGAGAACACGAATTTTTCGTATTCCAAGAAGATCATTTGTGAAAATCTTACTAAAAAGTTAAATAATTGTTATTGTCTTGATTGTTTAATTTACATGACGCGTTTAGAAGAACATAAATATTTAAAAGGCATAACTCACAACGAAAATCCCCATTTTCATAAGGCACTGAACAGGTACACAGAGGCGTGATAACAACTAAAGCTACGATCAGCGGAAACACAAGTCAACTACATATCTATCGGTTCTAACTTTAACTAATGCACTATTTTTGACAAACCTCGTTGGTATTTTTTTTTTTATTGTTATGAATTGAAACTTCTTAACATAACATAAAAACGAGTTGAGGGTCATTGTTACGATTGTTTTCACTTAATTTACTTGTTCAATACGCCCCGCAAAGAAATAAATATATAGTGAACCTGGAGGAAAAGGACATAAACTTAAACAAGACTAAGTTTTGCTCTTGATGAATGGTGGAAGTACTTTGACTGATATATTTATTTACCATTCTCCTTCTGCTGGGTTCAACTGTTATGATTAACTCTATTCCATAAAGATATGCTGTTTTGTTTCAGAGCAAAATAAGACAGTTGTTGTTCTTTTTAGTGTCTATGCCACTGGAATTTTAAAAGAAGTTAACACAGACGCCTCCTAAGGGAAATCGATCAAAGTTATCAACCAAGTTTTGTGTATACCGGGAATCGAACCCGTCCCTTCCGTACCGAACCGAGACACTAACCATCAGCTAGCACACTCTATTTGATAATGAATCTTTATAATTCCAAAATGAACGGAGTTTCAAAAGGATTTGTTTGAAAGGAAAAGGAACATGGATTAGTCATCATTCACATGGCTCCGTAAAATACCTTAATACATTCTCCCGGATGACCAAAAGGACTTGCTAACACCGATAACCGCTCCACATGCCGGGGTCGCACGTTTGGTCGGGAGTCCCGGTCCTTGAGTAAACGTCCCGGAGGTGCGAAGTGACCCGTCCTTGACCCAGAGGGCCCGGGGGAGGCGCACGCAGGAGCTACAGGAGGTGGTGGACTGGTGGTAGTAGTCAGTCTATTGCGGAGCGCGGCGCGGTACACTCGTAGTGCGCACAGTGGAACATGCCACCCGATACATCATGAGCTGTACTTGGATACTAGCAGCCACCGCCGCCGTACTGGGGTATGTTACTCAACTGATAATATCTATCATTATAAATATAGAGTTGGTATTACCAAATTTTTATTTTTTTTTAGCTCTTTTATAACTGAAACAGCTGTATTGGAGAACGTTCCAGCGCTAATAATAGACGTGATGTTCAAATAAGAGGGTGCTCAAAGACGTAAAGTATTATAAATATTATGGTAATATTAACGACTTTCTGCTCCATAACATCCATCCATCATTACGGTCGTTATTTTTTGGTTAAAATGAATTCATATAAGTGTTACACAAAGTTTTTAACAGAAGTAAACAACCACGTAGTTAGTTAGCGGCCCAACCCCTTTACTTTAATTCACCGTACCTCCTTCAATCAAGGTGTAAAGTAAAAATAACATTGGAAAACTAAAACCAAGATTGATTCAGAATAGACTGGGCAAACCTTTCAACGCAGCTAAAAGTCTCTTACGACGAACGTTAAATCAATTTCAGTAGGGGTGAGTGAACTGTTAATTTGATTTAAATCAATGTTCTGATACAGTAGCTGCAACTGTAATGGCTATATTTTAATGCGATTAGTACCTGGACATGTAACACTATCTTTGTGTCCAAGGACCATTAGTTTGCCACACCATATATAACGACTTCGTGGTTGGGATTGCAAAACCAATCAAATATTTATATTGCGGAGTGTCCAATTTCTAAAGCATAATTGAACAATGATTAAATCGATTATTTTAGAATCACAACTATTTTTTCGGAAAAACTTTGTGAAACCATTTTTAGGGTAGTCATTGAGTTCCAGAACTTAATCACGGTTATATGGACATCGACATTGTGCTTCGAAAACGAAAGGAAACAATTAATATGTGATTTAAATAAGTAAATAATCTTTTTCTTATCGTAGTATGGAATTAACAGGGTATTTTTGCCCCTAATGAAAATCTTTCTAATGTCTAACAATGGAGAGAAAAATATTCAACTGCTGAATGTTTTTGTTAACATAAAATGTAATTATTTGGTAGTGATCAGACAGTACACCAACATTAATCAATATGCACTTGCTAAATGAAAATACCCCATGTTGCACTCAACCATAGTCTAAGTGCATTGGCGTTTGCCGCCATTCAACGTATCGTATAAAAATTCACTTCTACAGTACTGATATCCAACTAGTAAATTAAAATAATAAATTTAAAGATAAATTAAAATAAAATAGTTTATTACCAATGGCATTTTTATACACCACACTACTTCGAAACATCGCCTTAAAAAAACTTAATTTTATAGGAAAAGAAAATATTTCAGTAGCTCCCAAGAATCTTAACATTATAAAATATATTTATTTTAATAAAAAAATGTGTGTACATTTTATGAACTTATAACATTTTTAGAGTTAGTAGGCCTACATTTTGAGATTAGTTATCTATTTTGATAGACTATTTTCCAATCTTTTTTACGTGCATCAATGGTTAAAAATTAATTTTAGTTAGCAAAGTTGTAGATAATCACATTTTATTATATGGATGAAGCGGCAATACCGGAAAGTTGGCGGATTTTACAGAAATGTTTGTGTTTACACATGACTCAGAAGGTCGACTGTAGTCAAACATCCCATGATTATTGACGAGAATTGGTGATGACGTACGGTTTCAACATCGCCGAAGGGGTTCATAGAATTTGTAATGGATGGATATATTAACATCTTTGTCTTGTGTTTCTTTCATAAGATGTTTATTTATTGCCATTATCCATATTGAGATGTAACAATCAACACTAATCAAATAGCCCTTTCGTATGTTTTACTTCTACTTGGACATTGACATAGGAGATAGGAGCTTAGCTATGCTGAAGGATCTTTTACCTCACACAAATAAAATTGGAGCTATGTATTCTTCTAACAATACTCAGCCCCGTCAAATTGTTGGGGTAAGAAAGTGGATTTTTCCCGCTTAGAACGTGTGAAATATTTATTTGTTGAAGTCCAAACCCCTGTGATCGTGTGTTAGTAGCTATACATAAACTTGGTGTTGATAATGATTCCACAACAATGCTTTGTAACTTCATGTTTAACAACTGTTATTTACTAGCTCATTTAACTGATTGTCTAAATAAACGATTGTAATATCCAATATCCACAGTGTTTGGTTATAATCTGTTTATATATAGCATGCCTACAAATTTACTAGACACAGAAGAATATATCAAACGGTATTCATAATTAACAATTTGCTACACTGCACTACTGTTTCACTCTCTACGCTGCAGGTAGAATATGCAATACTGTATATCTGGGCCAGGTAAAAGTGACGGTATCAGCATTAGGTTGGAATTCATTATAGTCCATATTTTTTATTTGTATTTTTTTTTTAGATTCAGAGCTCATAAACGCGAACGTTAGAGGCACCCATTAAAAAGGATTCAACTAAATTTTATGCACGTAAAACTTATTTGGGGTAATTTACCTAAACATCTCACCAACAAACTCGTTAAGAATGGATAATTTTCGAAACTTTTACTTAGACGTTCCAATAATCTTAAATTCTCAACTAAACTTCTCATAAGAGTAATTCCTGTCGTATGTTGAATTTCGCCGCCAATTAGACTAAAGACTCGATAGAAACTCAGACAAAAAACCGAGACTGGGCAATGCAATTTGCCATTCCCTTCTCAATAGGACAATTAACTTTCGATGTACAACGGATTACGTATTCCACAAAAAGCTTTGTCCAATTCAATGGAAGGATTTGTCTAATGAAGTCTCGACCATTTAGCGAACGTCGCCTCCGCGATGAGAATGGCGGAAGCGAGCAGCCGTGGACGGTAATGGGTTTATCGTGTGTGGTGACCGATGCTACTGGAATGACTCATCTTGGTCAATGTCGCGGGGCGAAATTCTCTGTGGCCAAACTCAAGAATGCGATTAAGCATAAGCATTCAAGGGCAAACAATCTCCTGCCGTTCCAAATCTATATCCCAGCTGTCTATTCATAGTCATCGTTGCTTTGTCTCAGCTGTGGAGTAAATACAAACTAACTGGTAATGCATGAATCCTGCGATTCATTGTCACTGAATACCACAGTCGCACGGCTGATCTACAGTATGATCTCACTTGAGTTTTCAGGAGTTGCACGCACCTACCCTCGTTGTCGGTGCAAACCCGTAGAATAAAACATACTCCTTTTTGCAATCAATTTGAAAGGTTTTTAATCTTTTAATTAATTTGTTGAGATCGCGCACGACTTTATTGTGTTACTACTGTACGACGTATATGCCTAGTAAATGCAAGCTAACAGTAGTACTTTGGATGCTATTTTACTACTGACCCTTCCCTTTCCGTCCTTGTATCGTGGTAAATTATGAGAGTCGCCGTTTTCACATAAGAATCTATCGCGAATTGAGCCTGGATCGAGTAAAAAATAAGTCAACTCGTCTCAAACATTGGGATTTTCTTTACTTGAGACAGTCTGTCCTATGTGGTTAGAGCACAAATCTTGTTATCGGGAAGCTCGAATGCTAGGCTCAAATGCTATCAGTCCCTAATTGCAATAATTTGTGGGATATTGTAGTGATTCCGTGGTTTATAACTACTATTTATAAGCCCCAAAGACATAATAAAAAATATGTATGACTCTTTCTAAATTTGTCCATACGAAATAACTGACATTTCTTATTATTAGGGATGGATATTATCATATGACGAGCCATTGCGGTCTCAAAGTCCCGTGCGGCAGCGTTTATATTCAATTTTCAGCCAAAGGCGCAGTCTTTAAATGGATACATCTTCGAGTGATAACTTGTAGGTTATGGTTTTAGCCTTGCGCCGCGACCCACGGTCTGTAGGTTCGACATCCGCTACGATTTGCTCGCGCTCGACTTTCACCAACTATTCACGACCTTTGATCTCCAGAGTGCGATTCACGAATCCTCAAAGACAACTCTTCGACAACAGGTGTACCTCGCTAATTACACCAGTCTTCGTCTTCGGAAGTCTCTTATTTGAAATAAGATAGCATATTCTACGCCTTAAACTATAAATCTCTCATTTTCTACTGTTCGACTGATAAACAATATTTTGTGTTTTATTTATGACTCAGTATAAGTTACAGTATCCGAGATTCTATTGGCACGTCAACACGTTAGAGTACAGCGGCTCACAGCTACTGTAACTGTAGCCTCAGCCTCACCCGGCGATATGCGGTCACTGATCACGGATCAGCTGTTATATAACATGTCCTTGCCTCGTAACCGGTCCAGGGTACAGGGATCGCGCAGGATTATGTAGTAAATCATTCTTTACGAGGCGCCACTTGGCGTAACACCGAGCTGAGCCAGAGTGTGGGTCTGTGGGTCTGTAGGAAGAACCTACATAGCTGATGGCTCCCGGGACATGCGAGTGCTTCGTGATACACCTACTGAATAAAAGATTACACGTGCCGAAGTCAATCATAGGAGTATATTTAAACCTGGGATTCATACAACGTCTATTGTATTACTGTGACAGACAGTGTATCCAGTTCTTCGTGATCGAAATCCTAACATAAGTCATTCCCAATATCCCCGCTTTTAGATGAAGATACCTTATACATATTTTCATTACTATGTAACCTCGCCCCTATTGCAATTTCTTGAGTCTTGAACATGGATGAGACATTCCTTCCCTCATATAAAAACGTATTCCCTTATTGTCAACCTGATCAAGATCCTAATTCCAACGAAAGGATACATTCCAAAACACTCTGCCTCCAAACTCAAGACCCAAAACCCAAGTACAGACCGTGCCCAATCGTAGGTGATATTATCGGAGGTGAACCGGTAGATTCAACGACGTATGGCTGATGAAACACGAATTCCAAGATTGCAATAATATAACAAAAATAAAAATAACATTACTAATGAATCACATCCACCTACATGATGACCTTGTGACATTATATACTCAGTGGTATACGGCCATATGACAGTTTCTCGCTTATTTTCCAGAGCGCTGCTGTGCGAGGGCGCCATCGTCCCTCCTCCCTGGGCAGATCCCGGTAACAACCCCTGCGCCTCCAGACCCGGCGGCTGGCAGCTGCTCTACTGGCCCGGGGACGGCAAGTGCTACAAGATCTTCACCAAGGGTCCGCCCTGCCCGGTGTCCATGGAGCTGACCCCTGGACCTGACCGTCGTGCTGTGTGTCGTTGTCCCCCAGGCACTGCGCTACACAAGGGCGACAATCTCTGTCACCCCCTGTACTCCACCAGCCCCTGCCCCCCTCAACACTACTTCGCCCCCGTCCCTCAGTGAGTATCCGTCTACTGTGCTTTGCTTGCAACGTGTGCTTTCTCTGTAAACACTCATTGTCCACTCATTGGACTTACAATATGCACCTTCGTGTGTCGGCGTAGTAAAACTCTAATCTAATCTGAACTACAACTTACTGTTTTACTGGCATGCCTTTGTAAATTGTGCATAGCTTATAAATAACAACATACATTGAAAATGAAGGCGGAGTAAGGTTAAAAGGTTAGTTTCGTCCGATTTATGTAGAAGACGATTTGTCCTCAACTAACTATAAAAACTAACCAAATAAAACATTCTACGCACAAGCTATTGCTAGTCTTCTGGTGTAATAATCCAAGAGTAAATCCCAATTCGTAATACCTACCATGAAATAAGATAAAAACATTTAGTAGACGTCACTGATGCCCAAACTTCACAAACTTGAAACACACGGCAAAACAGGTTACATGTTTTTACTTTTTACATGTTCTACTTTAAATAATTAGGATGATAAGTCTTGCACTATTCAAAGCCAATGCTTAGAGAGGAATGTCTTAATGTGTGATTGTAACACGGTAATATTTTATCAACTGAAATAAATGAGAATTCGAGGAAATGTGAAAGTCAACAAGAAAAATGAAATGGTACTTTTCATCCGACAACAATTATTCGGCAAGACGGTAGTACCAGGCGGCTTCGGTAGGATCAATTCCAACCTACGCAGCACTGATCACAAACGCACGTACAGTTTGGCGGGTAATTTCCATGCGATTTGTTATTAACTGCAAAATGTTGTCGTGCTTGTGTTTTGTTTATAGACATATTACTAACGTTGTTTGCAATGGCTACTAAAGAGAAGAAGACAAGAATTATAGCAAAAATTAGGAGTTTTCAATTTTTCATCACGTTATTCCTTAACATTTCTGGCTTGAATTCACATAATTTTAACAAACTTACCCGGCCAATTCGGCTTGATCACATCGAAAAGCCGATATTGAAAGCGTTTGCGTTTAGCTGATAAAAAAAGTTCCGATTACAAGATTCCATTCTGAAATTAAAATGAAGAAAACCATTCTACATTAATGATGGAATTTAAGTTCGGAAAATAGTTTTCCAATAAAACACCAAAGTTTTAAAACTGAGAAAATCCGCTAATAATACATATTTTCTAGTCATTACGTTCAGTAGCTGGTTAAAAAATGGTTTGCTTGATTTAATATGTCTGATATCATACAGAGCACGTCATTTCAGTATGCGAGGGTCAGTGCGCGAAAACTAGGGTCTCGCGGCTAGGCCATCCTCAATGATAGGCCTATTGTTTTATCGATGTTAAACTATAGACTTGACGACGACGGACGGTGTAATCTGTAATCTCGTTATTGAAGTGGGGAGGGTGTAGAAGGATACGTCAATCACGGCACGGCACAGTGCCGCTGCCGCTGCTGCACCCAGCCACACACACAGCCTGGCCTGACATCCTGACACTTGACAGGCCGACACGCTCACGGCAAGAGATCCATGCAGTGGTCCGAAAGGCAGTGCTCCGAAAGGCACTGGTTCGAAAATCATTTTCGGACTACTGCCTTTCTGAGTACTGCCTTTCGGAGCAGTGCCTGACCATGCTGAATCTGTCGGACCAGTGCCTCATCTTTGTATTATTTTCGAACCACTGCCTCTCGGACCACTGTCTTTCGGAGCAGTGCCTGAGCGTGCAGATTGTTTCGAACCAGTGCCTTAGCAATGCATTCTTTTCTGACCACTGCCTTTCGGAGTAACGCCTGGGCTCCAACATTGGTTGAGGGAGGAGCAAGAACCGAAGGCGGAGACCCGTTGTAGGGGAAGGAGGGGTGTGTCAGTGGTGGGCGGAGTCAGAATGCCACGGTCATTGACGAGACCTTCTCTGGAGGAAATAACCCAGCACCACCACGCCATCCCGAGCGCTTCCGAACCATAACGAATATAGCCGAGGTCCGAATATAACGCATTGTGTCGTCTGCCTGGAACACAGAGCAAAGAATCTGGAATCGGGACAGCGGAATTGAAATCGGAACGAAACATCGGAGCGATTTCTTCCAATCCAGAGCCTCCTTTGAACACTGATAGAACTAGATTAGTCGTTTAATGATGTTATGTAATTAATTATAAACTATTTGCAGACCAATTATTAAAAGTTAAAGAATCCTATGTAAGCCAAACTAATCCTTTAATCTTCTTCAGTATATATTTATCCTTTTAAAAAATCTCCTGGTAGGCCTAGTGTTTTCTGGAAAAATAAATAGTGAATTTCAATCTACCTATATTTAGGCAACAGTTTTACAGTAATTTTGAAAAAAAAAAAACGTTATAGTTAAATGCAGAAGGCTATGTGGAAATAAATTATATTTTACATGTTCAGACACAATAATAACAAGTAAGTCGATTTTTCGTAAACATACCCCTTATTTTAATTAGGTACTGTTAGTTTTCCTATCCATATAGTATTATCTAAATTTAATTATGCCAGTTGTATAGCTCATTCCGTCTGATGTTAACATTGCTATTATTTTTTTAGCATCTTCTTAATTGAAATCAATGTGGCCTATCCAAAAACACCAACTTACCTAAGATTAGCAATATCCTATTATTAGAATGCTACGGTAATAACTTATTCTCTTTTGGGAAACTTGCTAAAATTATATCCAAGTGTTGGTATTGATTACTATTTATTAGATCTCGTTCGTTTGTTTTTTAAGATAACAATACATTATAATTTAATGCTCCTGCTTGAAAAGAAAACTTACAGTTACGTTACCTATAGGAAGGAACTTAGCATTTCATTTATTCCCGTAGGAATTAGATTATACAACACAGTATGAATAATATTGATGATGAATACTGTAAGTCTTTTTATTTCGGTTGGTCGCCTACGTTTAATTCCTTTAAAGACTAATAAGTAATAACTGGAAACATAAGATAGCAAATGAGAGACACCATAGCATAATACCTAACCAAATGCCAAAATAAATATTTAAGTTAATTAAGTTTAATTCATTATAGGCTACTTTGAATCCTCAAATGAAACTTAATTGGATGCTAGTTTCAATGAGTAAAGCGATTGCTACTGCTACAAGAAAATGAAGTAAACACATCTAAATACATTTTAAAATGTAGGTAGGCCTATTCAATCAAAATTCAACTCCCTTAACATATGTAAAACATAAATAGTTGTTAGGACAAAAAAAAAAGTCCTCAAACAATAACAAAATTCGAATGTTAAAGTAAACGCGTAAAGTAAATTAATAAAGTGAATTATAATTAGAAAACTGAGAAGATAGAACAAAATTTGACACTCTCTCTCTTCTAATAGTAAGGGGCTGTCGTCAAGATGCTACCCCGGCAACACGCCACCATCTAGAAAGTCGAAGTGTTGGGTTGACTTGTCCGGCCATTTAAGTGTCATAGCAACAGTATAGTAATTAATTATAATATATAGTACATTGTCGTTCTGTCCGCCAGTAATTTTAATACGGGAATATGTTTGATTTCTTCATAAACCCCTTTGTACTGCCGTTGATTATGGACGCTAACTGACAACAAGTGCATGTAATACACCATATATAAAAAGGGAACGTGATCCACATGATATTATTTCTTTGTACAGAACAGTTACTAAGTTGTTTTTTTTTTACTACTACCCTCTGTAGTGTTTCCAACTTAGGTTGGGCGTTTGTGTATTGTTAGTTGTAATGTGTTTTTTTTTCACAAGCTTCACACAAGACGGGATCAGATTCCAGATCCCGAAACGTTGTGTATTGTTTTTTACATTCGTAATGGAAAATGTCCGCAATAAACCTTTGAACAACATTAACTCACCATCACCAACAATGAACTTCAAACAAAGAAAATTGATTTTATTTACGTAGTAATGCCACGACCCTCTTGGAAGTGTTGGGTGGACTTGTAGGTAAGCATTTAAGTGCCATACCGACAGTATTGTCATTAATCATAATCTATTGTACATTTTCGTACTGTCCACCAGTATTTTTAATACGGGATACGCGGTAATGGGAACACCATTACCGGAAAGATACGGAATCCATCCATCGGCCTCGGTGGTGTATTGGATAGCATGTCGGGCTGTAAAATCTGCAGGTACCGGGTTCGAATACCGCTGGCAGCACCAACTTTTTTATCAAAAGTAGTTTTCATATCAGCAAGTTTGGTTGGTTTGGTTAAGTTATGACGGTTTAATTTCATAATTAAAAAATTGTAAGATTAATTTTATAATTTTTCTTAATTTTATAATTAACTAATAGTAAAGTAAAAATTACGCGCTGTGTTCTCTACTACAACACTGTTCACGGAGGAATTTTGAACTAAATTATGACGCCATCGTTGCCTCACTTATACTTCCCGTAAGTCAGACCCCTACATTTAACACTTGACTTATGATCCTGCACAGATGTAGCATAGCATTGACTTTGGAATGGATTAAAATGCTTGCCCACTCAATATTGCAAGCAGATAATTGCATTTGCATTTACGATACCCAACCGGGGACAGTTCTCTTAATCATTTCTTTTAATAATTATCTACAGCCGAATCAAAAGCATAAATCTACTAAGGGACATGCAGGTGAAATGTGTGCCGGTGCGGCACCGTAGCGAACGCAATTGGCATTCAAATATTTCAATCTGATGAATAATAAAAGAGCAGCGGTGATTGTACTACGTTACCCCGAGATTGGACGTAGTTCCCTGAAACACCCAAAGGTAGCAGCACTGCCTGGATCAGTAGTAAGTGGCTTGAAGAGAGCCACTTACTACTATGCCACTTTGCCACTTAACCAGAGAGCACAGTGTGCTCTCTGCACTTAACTACTAAGTTGGTTCTATGACATGCAATAGCATTAAAAAGTTATAAGGTTTACCAACAGGGTGCAGCACTATAATCTTTTGGGAGTATCGATCGAGCATCCCCGGGCGGGGACATTACGCATTCCTGCGGATATCCTGGGATATCCCAGGTTGACCATAGGACTACTATGGGATATCTTGCATATCCTGTCACAATATCCGTGGGATGTCCTGAGGAGAAAGTGTGCTGTATGGGTGTGACATCAGTCTCTTTCTTGGGGGAACACCGTTTACCGCAACGATATGGAGCTTGGCAATGAGCTTCGGTGGCGTAGTGGGTACCGTACCTGGCTGATAATATTATAGTTGCCGGTTCGAATCACACTATAGTCTATAAACTTTGTATCGAAGATTTAGCTTCAATAATCCATTATTTCGAACCAGTGCCCTTATTTTGTTGGAATTTAAGGTATTTATAATTTTATTCTATGAACAGAATGATTTTTCTATTAGTAAACCTTCATTAGATTTTTCCTTTATCAGCAAGTTTGGTTAGGTTATAAGACAGTTTAATTTATAATAATTTATAATGATTTTATTTTAGAACAGAACTGTTTTTTTCGATTAGTAAACCTTCTACCGATTTTATGTTGTGGGATTTTTATTCGGAGATTAAACATGTTGTTATGTGTTAACATATTATTTTTGTGATGGTTCTACAGGGCAAACCCTTAGAACTAAAGATACAGACGTCAATAAAAAGATCAAGAAAACAAAATTCAGGAAACTTTCAGAAACATCCAGTTGTGTCACCTTTTTCTGTTTAGATTGTAATAATAAATCATAGGTCGTGTATTCAGCAAAATTAACATAAAATGCATTAGTATGCTACTAATTGCAAATATATTATATACTTGCAGAGTACCCGTCCTTCGTACGGGGTCGGCATATAAATATAAAATGCTTATTGCATTTATACTCAAGCTTTTCGTTCACGGTTTTTTGTTGCTACTTGGTAAAAATTTGCTGTTTTCATAAAAAAATTAAAAATAATAATAGTGCTGCACCCTGTTGGTAAATCTTATACATTTTAATGCTTTTGCATATCATAGAACCAACTTTTTTAGTTGAAACAGCTGAATAAAATCTGTGATTCCCTTTAAATATGAATACTCATAAGGTTAACATGGGGAACTACAGAGCCAATATGGGGCGGAGCCCGAAAGGATTTTTTAGATAAGAATATGCCTATATGTTAATCGGGAATGTGAGCTATTATCATGCCATATTTCAGCCCAATCAATCCAGTGGTTAATGCTTGATTGAACTTCAAACAAACAAACAAACAAATAAACAAACAAACACACAAACTTTCACATTTTTATAATATTAGTAAGATTTTTTACAACAATATAAATTTAAGAGATATATAATCACTTACTATAGCAAATTTATGATTGGATATTTATGCATGGGCATTTCATGATATTTATTTGGCAACATATCTTAAGTTCTATAGAGGTTGCATAACAAATTTGCATTACTCTGCAAATTAATTTGCATTAGAATAATTCCTTCACTAAAAACATTTGCGATTGAAAATATATCCTGGGGAGTATCCCCGATGTCAACTGCCCCTGGTCCTGGTCCTGGTGGTAGCGTAGAATGATTGAGTGAAGTGAGAATGAGAAGTGACTAGCCGACACTGTCGTCGCCGCGCCAAAAAGTAGGGGCATGTCAAGAGGTAGGGGGGACGGGAGGCTGCTCCCACTCCACACCTGTATAGCTCCGCCCATTCGCTGCGAGGGGGAACCACGTTTCGAAGCAGTGCCTGACCACGCACATTCTTTCGGACCAGTGCCTGACCCTTGCATTCTTTTCTGACTAGTGACTTTCGGTGTTATAACTTTCGGAGCAGTGCCTGGATGCACATATTGTTTCGGACCAGTGCCTGGATGCACAAAATGTTTCTGACTAGTGACTTTCGGAGTTGTGACTTTCGAACCAGTGCCTTTCGAACTTATGCCGTTCGAAGCAGTGCCTGACCATGTAATTTCTTTCGGACCAGTGCCTTTCGGAGCACTGATTTTCGGACCACTGCCGCGCTCCCCACGGCAATGCAGTTTGGTCGATCATGAGACATTATGATACCACGCTAGATCACCCCAATACAGTTATGGTTTGGTCTTTCCCTTTTGTTGTTTTCTTTCTTAGCCTCTTTTTCTTTTCAACTTGTTGCAAAATCTGTCTTGTACTTTTTCTTTTTCTTCTATTTGGCTTTTTGTTTATAAGAGTTTTGTTTGTACCGTAGTGGTATACTTCAAAAGACTCAAAAAAAAAAAAAATACAAAATCTGTCCAATGAGTAGTTTATTTTTCTTTTATATGTCGTTGGATCAATTTTTGATCAACTTTTTATTTTGTAGGCTGGTATTTTTTTTATCTTGAGTTCTTGGTATTTGGATGATGGAACTTAGGGACTATCAATACTATCAGCTAGTACACTACAGAAAATACAAAAATATTTATTGATACTCCTTCAAGTTTGTGGATGAAATATCCAAACCAAGAATTAAAATACCTACTCAAACAATTATCCAATAAATGAGAATTTGTTCCAATGCAAACTTCTTACTTCAACTCAAAACCAACCCAGGGAACAAATATCTATGAATTTTTTAAAGGGGGATGATAACTTACTACCTATGACTATTCTTCAGAATTATATGAATATCGAATGAGCTTCAAAGACGACTTCAGAAACATCTATGGCATTTCAAAAAACAGCTTCTGTAGATAGTTTTATGACTGTAGATACCCATCATGCACCACAATTCCATCCAACTCCTTCTCTTCTGTAAATATTTCTACATGTCATTTTTTTTTAATTTGCATCTGAATCGTCTTCTTCTGTACACATACAACCTTTTTGCTAATTTTCATCTAGTTTGCCCTTTTCTCCTATGAATACTTTTGATTTAAATTTAATTTGTTCTCTTCTGTAGCCAAGGCCTCTTTTTATATTTGCATGCATTAGTTCCTTTTCCTTAGCCATGAAATGTTTTGAAAGTTTGGTATGGTTCTTCCTCTTTTGTTGCACTTAAAAGTTCTTCAAAATGTATAGCAAAATCTTCATCCTTTATTCTGGATATTGAATGAGCTTCCAGTTCAAACTCAGAGAACCCAGCATGAAAATAAATTCAAAACTGACCAATCTGAATTTTTTTCTATGGCTATGGGCTTAATACTTCTATTTTAAACCCCTAACCTAAACATTAGCCTTGGATGTAGAACTGAAAGAGAAGTCCTCTAGTCTATTAACATCTCTCTTGTATTACTACAGGTCCAGTCCCAGTGAGAGATGGGGAGTGTGTGAAGCTGTGGCTCCTTGTCCTCATCCGGGTGAGCTATTCTACCCGCGGGACACCCGTTGCTACCAGAGCTACACCCAGGGCCCTTGCCCCCGTGGCCAGCTGTTGGCCCCCGGCTCCCCCAACAGCACCCTTGGCCAGTGCCGCTGTGACCAGGACGGCAGACTTGGCAGGTAATGCATTCAACATACCTTATGTCAGAGCTTCCCAACCTTTTTTCAAAAATACTTTGTGAGTACCACTAATTAATATCGAGAAAATTATGGATTATATATAAACTAGTTTACCTTGTGGTTGCCAGATTCTTGAAATGTGTAGATATCTTGCTCGATGTACATTTCGCTACATGTGTAGCATCGTCAGGAGCACAGTTTGTCACATTAGTCTATTTAACACAAACACTATTTACAAATATTTACATTTTCGGTCGGATGACGATTTACGGTAAAGTCATAGGAATCCAGCGCGCGAACGCGCAAGATATCTACACATTTCAAGAATCTGGCAACCACAAGGTAAACTGGTTTATTAATAATTCGTTCTTGAAGCTGGAATAATACACGGATTATATATGTTTTTTAAAACTATTTTGCATACATAACTAACTCAATTTCCTTAACAATGAATATTTCCTGAGAGGGTTATATTTTCACATTTCATGAATACCTGAGCAAAGTACTGAACACCATACACAGAGTTTTATTTCTCATAATACTAGATTGCTATTATTTCTTTATTGTTAGTAGTATTAATTTACTCCATGATCTTCTTTTAAAATTGTTATGAAGAAGATATTTTACTTATTAATAATCATAAGGCGTGCAGAGTATTTAAGTTGAGGCAGGAAGTCGATGGTTACTTTAGACAAGTTTAAGACGACATAATTAGTAGACTGTCCAAGAATAAGGATAACCCTATCACTACTCCTGAGGACAAAGATAATATTGGCAGTTGACTATGAGATTGTTTAAGGTTTGTGAACAAAAGTTCAAATTGCTTACTTACTCTTAATCAGAGTTAGGTCTTATACCAGTACAGTGTAAATACATTTTACCGAAACTTATAACAAAAATTACACCAAACTCTCTCTCTCTATGAACTGGATCCTTTCAAGTTTAGACTTAGTACGTTTAAAGCAGCTATAGGTGTTTGAATCACAGAATAATTGCAAATATACGCTAAGAGACCTTTTTTATGTGGTTTTACAGGGGACAATTTATTAATGACAGCAGCTATTAGATTTACAGAATACATACTGGTAATACAGTCTGACAACTGTTGTAAATAATATAAGTTACCGGGAACTTACGAAAACAAGGAGGGTTTACAAGTTACTGACCATATTTTCAGACGCAGCTTGTAATCTACCCCAGTGTACTTGCCACACTCGCTTGATAACTGTAATTAAAAAACACTGCCAACAACTTTACACCCCACATCTAGTTTGAGCAAGCAAGATCATAAACTCGCTAAGTGTATTCACAGCACAAGCAAAAAGTAGGATTATTCTTGATGATGTCGGAGATATTGGTTATTAGCGGGGATTTAATGTAGTACTCGCCGACATGCATGATTTCTTACTCGTTTGCTAGTCTCTTGTAAGCTTGCTCTGTGTTCTGTGTAGATGATCCTTAAGCTTCATAATGAATATAAATTGACATTACTAGACAATTGGAGGATATAGTTCCAGAATATAGCCAATATTATATTCAATTCACCTCTTGATTATTAATTCTTTTAAGAAAACTGCACAGAGTTCATGTAACGGTCAGTTATGTCAAAACTTGGGCCTCGGTAAACATGATAGAAACTTTAAAAAATAGCTTATAACACACCTAAGGATAGGTCAGGAGTTGTACATACGTTACTTAGAATGTAGTCTTCACTTGCCATACTATTTTGGGTGCGCAGACATGCATTATGATGGTGTTAAAAACTGCATCTGCGAATTGATCTATAAGTAAATACTTTTGTTGCTCTAGGTATTACTGGCCTGCAACGGGAACGTGTCATCAACATTGGACCCCTGGACCATGTCAAGAGAAGGGTACATTGTTTCTACCAGAGGGCAAGTGTGGCTGTCATGCAGGACTACCCCACTACCATTCTGCCACCAGACAGTGCTACCAGATAGGTAAGTGACTAACTAGTAGTAGGCAAGAGGCTACCTTGCCAACAATCAATCAATTGATTTCTTATGTGAGATTTCTTTAAAAAATAAAATATAGGATCACCTTGGTCATCAATGTTGATGAAAGAATCCCTTTAGTAAGTACTGTAGTATGGTTTATCCACTAACCAGTCTTCAAGTTCCCTATTCAGGACAATATTTCTTAGGATCTTCAAGTGGTTGGCCAGGCTATCTCCGAAAATCTTCCGTCCCATATACTGTAGTAAGGCTTCTTGCTGTACGGTATTTTGTAGTGTGGTGACCAGGATTATCCGTTCTTATGGCTTTTTTTCTGAAGTTTCTGAAGTTTCATTTCTTTAAACCTATTGCCAAGGCCTATGTTTTAGTTAGGAAGCCCAGAAGTGTTTAATATTATCTCTCACCTGGGAATGAAAGATAATGACTTTTCTAATCTTTTCTCAATAAAATTGTCAAAGCAACCTCCAATCCAATCATGAAAAGTATAAAGCCATTACATCTTCTTCCCCTACAAATTCAATGGGATGAATCCACACTACTTTGGAAAACTTGTATTAATGAAGATGTAAGGGTACAATGATTGAAGTGCATAAAGACTACCGGTACTGTAAAAGATAGTTGTTAAAACACATAACAAGATGTTGAACTCTACTTCAAACTTATTTGTAATAAGTTTGGTCGTGGTTGTTTGTGTATATCAAATGAAATACGACCAAATAAGTAAAAGAAAAGTAGTTTAATAAGAGAGTTAAATTTTGTGTACATTCCTGTAGAAATAAAAAATCAGACTAAATCATAATTCATTGCTATGACAACGTCATCAGCTGACGCTACACCAGCCCCCCACGGAGAGAAGGAATCTATACATCATTCTGGAAAGTAACCCGTGGTCGGATTTGTCTTCCAGAACGAGTTGTATAAGACTTCGTAGATGGAGTTTGACAAGATGGTGGTAGTTTTGAGGTTTCCTCTGCTTGTCCAGTCGGTACCAAAAGTTTCGTGGGCTCAGGAATAGGATTTTTATCGGCAACAATATAGGCTGGTTTGACCCTGTCCAAAAATACCTTAGTTTCTTGGCCTCTTACAATGATGGTAATTGTCTTTTCGTCACGGCATATGACCTTGTAAGGACCAGAATATGGAGCCTGTAAAGATTTTCTTAAGCTGTCTTGTCGGCGGAATACAAAGTCACAAGTGCTTAGGTTCTTGAACACAAACGACCCTGTTTTAATGTGGCGTGATGCGGGTGTAGGTCTTAGTCGATTCATATGCTTACGCAGCCCTGATACCAATCCTTGTGGCTCGTTGCTCCCGTGGGAAGGTATTACGAAAAACTCTCCCGGAAGACGCAGTGGTTCTCACCAGTTCAGCTGATGAAGCAGTGATGTCCTCCTTGAAAGCAGATCTTATTCCGAGAAGGACAAAGGGCAGTATTTCGGTCCAGTCTGATTTGCTGTGAGCCATTATAGCAGCTTTCAACCGGCGGTGGAGTCTTTCAATCATACCGTTGGCTTGTGGATGCCAGCTGGTAGTGAACTGGAGCTTTATGCCCAACTGTCGCTCTAGGTCTTTAAACAAAGTCGATGTGAACTGGGATCCACGATCACATGTCAACTTTTGTGGGCATCCAAATCGAGCTATCCAAGTAGAGACAAACGCTCGAGTAACAGATTCGGCAGTTATTTGATCAATAGGACAAATTTCAGGCCAACGAGTAAATCTATCTATGATAGTCAGACAGTACCTAGAAGACTTTGATAAGGGAAGTGGGCCAATTAGGTCAATGTGGACATGGGAAAAACGTTCTGTAGGTGTATGAAAATCACCAAGAGGGGTAGAAACATGTCTAGTTATCTTAGATCTTTGGCATGAGAGGCAAGATTGAGTCCATTTGTGGCAATCCTTACGAATGGAAGGCCAGACAAAACGATCGCAGATAAGTTTTGTTGTGGCACGTATTCCAGGATGACTCAGCTTGTGGAACTGGTCGAAATCTCTACGTCGCAGTTCTGATGGCACAAAGGGTCTAGGAGTTCCTGTTGAGGTGTCACAGATAAGGCTCAAATGAGTTCCAGGAATTGGAACTTTCTCCAATCTAAGAGATGTAGTACTTTCTGAAATGAGATTTTGAAGTTCTTCGTCTGACTCTTGCGACTTGGCTAAGGATTCATGATCTAAAACAGTTTAAATGGCTTCAACACGTGACAAAGCATCAGCAACTATATTTTGTGAGCCACTTATGTGCTTTATGTCTGTCGAAAACTCAGAGATAAATGAAAGTTGGCGTAACTGAGCTGGAGGCAACTTGTCACGGCGCTGTTGAAAGGCATAAATAAGTGGTTTATGATCTGTGAATATAGTGAAAGAAGTTGTTTCCAAGAGATGACGGAAATGCTGAACAGCTTCATAAACAGCGAGGAGTTCTCTGTAGTATGCAGGCCAGACGCACTGTTTGGATGATAGTTTCTTGGAGAAAAAACCTAGAGGTTGCCAAGAGTCATGACAAACTGTTGGAGGCAAGCACCTACACTTACTCCAGAGGCGTCAGTAAAGAGACCAAGAGGAGCATCAGGTTTAGGATGAAACAATAGTGTTGCTGATGATAAGCTAGCCTTGCATGCTTGAAAAGCTTCTTCTGTCTCTGGAGTCCAGGGCACAGGGAGGGAACCTTTTGAACCAGCGTCACTAAGTAGGGAGTGCAGAGGTGCTTGAAATTCAGCGGCCTTAGGCAGAAACCTACGATAAAAGTTCATAATTCCCAAGAATCTGCGAAGACCACGCATTGTCTGAGGTAATTGGTAGCCTTGTAGAGTAGTGACTCTCTCCTGAGGTGGACGTGTCCCAGCAGATGAGACTAAATAACCTAGAAATTTAACTTCTGGTACACCAATTACACATTTAGACGGATTTACAACTACTCCATAGTCAGAAAGTCGTTCAAACAACATTCTTAGGTGTTCTTTATGTATTTCTTCAGACTGAGAAAATACTAAAATGTCGTCAATATATGCATAACAAAAGTCAAGGCCGTGAATAACTTCATCTATGAATCTTTGAAATGTTTGACCCGCGTTGCGCAAGCCAAAAGTCATGAATGGAAATTCAAACAACCCAAATGGAGTGGTGATTGCTGTTTTTTGGATGTCATCTTCGTGGACGGGAATTTGGTGGTAAGCCTTGGTCAAATCAATGGCAGAGAAATGTGTACAGCCTGCTAAATTGAACGAGAAATCCTGAATATGTGGTACAGGGTATCTGTCAGGAACAGTACGAGCTTTTAAAGCGCGGTAATCACCGCAAGGACGCCATCCATTTTCCCCTTTAGGCACCATGTGCAAAGGCGAGGACCAGGGGCTTTCAGAGGGTCGAGCAATATCAAGCTTAACCATCTCCTCAAATTCTTTCCGGGCAGCTTTCAGTTTTTGAGGATGTAAGCGACGTGGTCGACAGTGAACAGGAGGACCAGGTGTAACATTTATATGATGAACTGTTTTATGTTTCACAGCACGAGGTAAGCCTGGAGGACGAATAATATCAGGGAATTCAGAAAATACTTCTGCCAATGGCGAGGAGAAAGATATAACTTTAATACTAGTTTGATTGTGGTTAGAAACTATTCCCTCGGCATTCAGTCCTGTTTTCTTGTCAACCAAACATTTCATTTTGCAATCGGGTAATAAGTGATAGTGTGAAAGGAAGTCTGAACCTAATATAGGTATTGAAACATCCGCTACCACTAGACTCCAAGGAATATTACGTCTAAGGCCTAAATTAAGGGTGAGAGGCATGGTACCATAAGTCTTTATTTCACTTTTATTGGCAGCACTTAGTGAATAGCTAGTAGGAAAACGTTTATATTTGATAAGGCATTTAGGATAACACGACACATCAGACCCGGTGTCGATAAGGAACCTAGTTCGTGAATTTCTGTCCATCACAAAGAGACGGCCGCCAGCATTTGAACAATCCGTTGCGGCCTCTACGGATTGTTGCTGAGGTTTCCCTGAAAAGAGCATGGAGAAAGACATTTGGTAGCATTGTTTTTGAATTTTCTATGGTACCAGCACCAGTTCTTAGAGGGATTAGCCTCGTTTCCTGATCTACCACGAGACTGGGAACGACCCCTAGGTCTCACCTGTGTATCTCGTACTCTGGTTTCTGATAATGCTTGAACTTGTTTAGAGAGGGATTCTATTGCATTTAATAAAGAAGCGTTACCTAAAGAGACTTCACAAATACCAGGTGTTGAAGGAATGTCAGCCACCTCCATGATCTTATCAGCCAGTTCTGCCAGTTTGTCCAAGAAGAGCTCAAGTTGCGTAGTCAATATGGCTTGTGAATGAGGAGGGAGTCGTCTGAGCCACAGTTGACGAAGCATGTTGTCTTGAAGGGGAGTCGAGCCCGCAAGAGACCTAAGATGCCTCAAAAACTGGGAAGGCTTGCGGTCTCCAAGGTCCTCTTCACTCAGCAGCCGCCGCACACGTTGCTCTTCGGATGCAGAGAGGCGTTCAATCAGTTTCGTTTTTAGATGTCCGTATTTGTCGCCTTGAGGAGGGTTTGTTATGATGTCTTCGACTTCAGCAGCAATTCCTGTGTCCAATTGCAAGACCACGTAGTGAAACTTGCGGTGTCGTCGTTGGTAATTCCAGATATAAGAAATTGCGAGTCAACTTGACAGAACCACAGACTTGGTCTTTCAGGCCAAAAGGGCGGAAGTTTGACGGCTACTCTGTTGACCGACATGTTTTGAGAAGTGCTGGGTTGTCCAATCCGTTGACGCAGTTCTTCATTCGCAGTTCTAAGTTCGGCGAGTTGAGTCTGCAGGTCTTCTAATGACATCGTTTGAAGGAGGAAACACAAAAGATTTAAACTCTTCAAAGAAAATAAGTCTTTAGATAACGGTTTTAGTCGGGGTCACCATTTTGGTCGTGGTTGTTTTTGTATATCAAATGAAATACGACCAAATAAGTAAAAGAAAAGTAGTTTAATAAGAGAGTTAAATTTTGTGTACATTCCTGTAGAAAACAAAAATCAGACTAAATCTAATTCGTTGCTATGACAACGTCATCAGCTGACGCTACATAAGTTACTGTATGATCTTGATATAAACTGCTATCGTAGGCTGACTTAACTTGTATGAAATATTACCTAGTTTACCTACTCAGTTTACTACTGCAGTTTACCTACAGTGGCCTGGTGAACATGCAGTAAAGTTAACGAGTTGATTCAAATTTTGAGCAGTTAAGAAGTAGTTTAGAAAGGCTAAATTATAGTTTATCAATCATGCCCATTGCTGTAGTTCAAATCACAGTGACAAGGTGAAAATCAATAATTTAAGTTTAACAAGTATATATCTCTTGTGGTATCATTGTGGTTGGTTGGTAACTGAAAACTAGGCCAAGTTGTGAAATAAATTTTAAGACTAGAATTAATAAATTTTAAGTAAACACATCAAGACAAATGACTCCTACTGGGGGAAATCATTAAAATCTTCAATAGAACTGGAATAGTGCAATTGAATTTTGTTTCTAAAATCGATGACAGATGTGTAATTATCTATCTAATACAGTAGATTTGAAGAACCAAATTTTTCTCTTTTGCGTCTCTTCCCCGATGCAAAGCACAAGTATAGTGGCTAATTACGCTATAAAAGTGGATTTTAAATGTGTTTTACAGTACCAACTCTCAAGAAACACTTAATATCTAGAAGTCATCTTGGCCTGTACTCTATCTTTCTTTCGACAGATTTTTGGAGGAATCTTATATGAAAGAACCAGGGTCAATATAGATCAGTGTCTAGCTGGAAAGCTCTTGCCTCTTGAAGCCTCTTGGAAAGCTTACTTTAAAATTCTGAGATCATCACCCTTGTCGATGATCTTCTCGGCAAGTACTTATTGTGTTCCCGTCTGGCTGACTGAACTGTGTGCATAGTCGAGCTATATTTTCAGAGATCCGCCAAAAAGAGGCTTTCTTCTAACATGCTGAGAACTTTTGCCATTCCCAATTAATCATTTTGCATGACCACGGTTAAACATTTCTGGAATTCACTATTGGAAATGTGCTGTTGATTATCAACCCTCGCAAAATATGACCTTGGGACACGCTTTATCAGTAAAAACAAGTCCTTAATCCCTTATCCAACAACAGCAGTAGGTGGCATGCAGGTCCTGTGTAAGGAGTGGACTTTAACAAACCGATTTTGCACTGTGGGTAGTACCTCAGGGGCCGAAGACCCGCGCTCTACCGCTTTACGAGCACTACCGGGTAGGTTACTTTAACTCCACAGCACAGATGTAGCATCACTAACTTGGGTTAGAGAATTATTTGATTTTGTAATTACAGGACCAAAGTTCTTGCAAGTAATTTTATTTCTCATTCAACTTCAAAGAACTGCCACTGGTCACTTGACCATAGTAATTTTAAATACGTCTCTTTTTGTTTCAGGAACGGTCGGCCCTTGTCCTCCAGGACACCACTTTGTCATGTCGGAGGATGAGAGTGATGTGTTTACAGACTTTGTCCATGCCAAGTGTCAGTGCAAGCGTGGACATGTCCGGTGGGACAAGGACGGAGTCTGCTACAGACCCTACACCCGAGGCCCTTGTTCTCAGGGCAACATGTTCAGTGTTGAAACACAACAGGTAAGAAATGATATTAAATAATTATGATGTAGATATATCTGATTGGTTGATTGAGTCCAAGGAACAATTTGTAGGGACTCTAGGAACACAAGTCTTGGAGGTTACAAACTTTAATCCTTCGTAAAAAGGCAAAATTTTAAGATTTTTATTTCTAGCACGGTTTTTTTATACATTTCCACTTTAAATAAACATAACCAATTACTTATTAGAGCATAAATTATTTTTCACTACAATAAAAATTTGCGAATGTATTCACTTCTTGCCAGTGAGTAGCCTATCTAGAAAAATTTCAGATATATCTGCACCCGTTACAAAAAACAATAGGCTACATTACACTATTTAAAAAAGAACATAATAGCTAAGTTAAATTTGAACAATATTTAATTTTTAAAAAGATGTTCACAAACAAAAATGTACGTGTTTCGAGCAGGGCCAATTCAATTCATTAAGACAGTGACTCACATTTGTGCGCATATTTTAAGCAAATATGAACGAAGGGTGATTGTAAAATAACATGAAGATATCTTTATAGATTTGTTACTGGCTAATACCAGCTGTTTCTAGGCCAGGACCATTTACCAAAAGCCCAATAATCAAGAAAAGCTGGTATCAAACCATCTAATAGCGATATTCGCAAAAAGCTACTGACTTTCTCAGGATTGAACCGACGACCTTTTGATTACTAGGCAACCTCTCAGCTGCCCTTCTGCAGAGGGCAGGAAAGTGACTATTTAGTTAAAATTATGTCTGGTGTGTTGACAGGGAGATGGGGCCAACGTGACCGCAGCCTGTGTCCCTGTACCTTGTCCTCCGGGGAGACTGTGGTTCCCCGGACAGTCCGGGTGTCACCGGGTGGGTTCCCAGGGTCCCTGCCCACCTGGACAAGTGGTACTGTTCCAGGACTCTGTCCGCACCTCAGTAGAGGGTGTCTCCTACCAAGGCATGTGTGGCTGTGCCATCCGATCTCATGATGACAGGTGAGTGGGTGATCCCTGATGCACTTTCTAATATTGTTAATTTCATTTAAATATAAGTGTATTAAACAAAAACGGTATTAAACCTTATGTTTTTTTTCTTTTTTTCCCAAAAAATACAAATTTACAACACACATACAATTTCAAGCCACAAAAGCCAATATGGCTTGTCTGCAGCAATTATTCTAATTTTGTTATTTCACAGTGCTTTTTTATTCTATCAGTTTTTGTTATTCAATCAGTCTTTTGTTTCTCTTGTTTTTCTGGAAGAATTCAATAATATACCAAACTAATCATAGAATTTAAAGTAGTCAGATTTTAACAATTATTAATAAACAATGAAAAAATAAACAGTAATAAACGGATTTAAAACTATTAAAAAAGTAACAATAATAAACATTTGGAACAGTGAACAGTGAATAATCTATTAAAAATGTAACAATAATAAACATTTGGAACAGTGAACAACAATGATAAAATATGAAACACAGTTATCTTTAACTCAGATCTAGATATAAATTCTTTAACTTCTTTTTTAAAACTCTACAATAACATAAAGAAAAAATGTGAGATTTCCTCTCAAAGATCTACCTCAAGAGATGTACCTCTCAAACATACAAAAAATAAAGTTCTACAAGTTTCAGCTTGATCACAGAAGATTATCTGACTGCGGTCTAAAAGCATTTAAGTTATCTTAGAAACTAGATACAACTTGTTAAGAGACCTATCTAAGGAATAGACAGCTAATCTTATGGGGAAATGCCATCCGTGACGGTGAAATATTCTAATGATTCGTGTAGTAAAAGGTTTGGTGTTTCTTGTGGGACGCGTTGCAGAAAGTCAACAGTTCCGGAGGGTCAAATAATTTATACCTGTGCCGCTAGGTCAAAAACTACAATGTTTGCAGTGTCTGTAGATCAAAAATCCCAGTAAGTCAAATAGTACAGTCCGAGCTAAAAACGTGGTCTATGTTAAAGCAATTGACTTATTGGGAATTTGACCTAATGCAACAGCAGTTTTAATATAACGAATTAAGATAAAATATAAGTTCAGTTTCGCTGAGTCAACAGTGCCGGAAGGTCAAAAGTATAATCTGTCAAAAACAACGATAGTCCTCTCGACGCATGACTTCAATAATTTCGTGTTTTGGTGTACTTACAGTTGTGCTAAAATTTTGAAAATTGGCACAGAGCTTCTTGAATAGTCCTTCTCGATGACTATTTTGTTGGAACTTTAAACTATTTACTAATTAATTTAGTAAATAAACTAATTTAAACTAATTAATAAAAATTTATATGTATGGTGAAATAGTTTTAAATCGTGATTTCTAACATGAAAAAGTTAGCATGCGAGATTTTTTTTGTTTTTGGGTTAGAGAGGTTTTGTCTGTGGCAAAGTTGTAGCCAAAAGTGTGATGCGTAAAATATATGTTTTTGAATTTTTTACAATCAGGGGTTCAATAGATAACTTGGGTTGAAGAGGACGGCAAATTTCGCAACGCATGGAAAGAACTACATCGTACGATGCGACTGCTGAGTGGACTTCTAAGAACAAGAAAAAGATGAATATACAGATCACCAGTACATTCATATTATTTATAAAACATATTTCTGTATTACCAGCTAACATTTTTCACTTATAAAAATACATCATAAACAGGGTGTTAAAAATAAGCGGGGAGATACTTTACCTAGTAATTCCTTGGGTCAAAATAAACAGAAAATCAAGGATAACATTTTTTCCGAAATCGTTTCCTTAACCAGATATCCACCATTTTGTATTTTTTACATACAAATATTTATCTTTGCACTTTTCCAACCGATGTTTATGAAACTTGGTATGTATGTTAAGGTAGGAGAGACCCATGTTATAAAAAAAGATTCATCTCGATTCACCGTAAAATTTCTAAATTTAACACTTAACTACAATATAATATACTTTACTACACCACAATATTTACGTATCACCATAAATCTTTAACAAAATAAAACGTTATCATTTTTAAAATCCAAAGTAAATTAATATAATCTTTCTTTTTTGAAAAATATATTTTTAAAAAAGGCGAATGATGGTAAAATAACGACAGGCGAGTTTCGATCTGGGTGTTTCAGGTTTGAATCTAGGAGGATTTAACATTAATTAGGTAACATTAATGTTTAATCCTCCTAGGTTTGAACTGATTGAGAGGAATACATGAAACCGAAGGGGGGAGGTAGCAACAAGTGCACTAGTATTTACTAGTGTCCAATTACAATTTGATGGATTTAACCAAAACCTTTTCTATTTCACTTATTTTCAGCTGTTAAATTTCAAACGATACGTTTTAGCGACATCATTAACGTTATTATCATCATCATCGTTTGAGTTTGGGTTTGCGGCAATGTATTTTTTATGAATAAACCCTTTAATTTGATACCAAACTTGACCTCTGCTGCTATTAATTGGCTGTATGCACTATTAATTAACAGCTTTGTCTAAGGATTATGTCGGCCTTAGTCACAAACAGGACAACAAGATCGCTCCACTCATCCCACACTCATCTCCATTCATACTTGGCTTAAAATGCATACATTTGTATGGTCGCCATTTCAAAGCAACATGGCTACACTATCAATGACAAACGTGGAAAACCTTATACGAGTGTGAGTAAGTCCGAAAACAGAGTAAGTCCGAAAACAACTCTAAAAAACAATAAGCAATAAATTGCAAGAACCGTTGCTTATATCATTGGGTATACACGTATGTACTGACGTGTATACTCAATGTTTATATCGAACGAATGGGTACATCGTGAGAATTTCCATTAGTTTTGTTCCATTTAGTTGTGTGTCCATTAGTATAATAGTTTAGTTGACTCTTTTAAGGTCAGCGGAAATTGTGACTGTTATTACCCTCGAAATAATGTTTGTGTAGTACTTTGCAATCCTACCAATGCTTATAGAATCATACGATTACAATTTTCTGGTTAGAATATGTCGCATAGAGTGGTGACTACTGTATCTTTTTGGTTTGCTTGTAAAACAGGATCAACAGAGATTTTCCATCGACTTGAACAATACGATACTCTCAAATTGTTCATTGCTATAACAAACTATCACACAGTTTGATGAATATTTGTGTGTAAACCACATACAGTACACCTGTATTCTATCTATTTTTCCTTTTATTTTTCCAAGACTTTATAGAAAATCACGCATTACGTGATCAGTGAAGAAAGGCTGTATCCCATGTGTTTTATAGGTAAAGAAGTTAAGAAGAACACTGCTTCAGGTCAAAGCATTCAGTTATCATCAGCAATTGTAATTCCCGAATCAGTAACTGAATCAATAGTCAATTATGTTGGGGTTTTGTTGATTATCTATAATGCACTTTACATGCTCCATTTGATAGTTTATAATAATATACTCGGAATCTATAAGACACCTTTGGCTTGTATTAAATATTGGGTTGGGCCGTTTAGTATTTTGAATACAATAGGGGTACTCGTCAAACAGTTAAATATTATTATTTCTATGAATTTAATGGGTAACTTTAAAGATTAGGTGGAATTTCTAACAATACTTCACCGTAATCAGCAGCAAACATACATAAGGAATCCCAGTTATTGCAACAGACGCTCTGACAGCCCGTCAACATAAGACCTGCAGACGGGTCAATGAATATGCTGAAAAAATAACGAGATAAGTGAGTGTAAAGTGACTATTTATATCCGGTCGTCATACGCCACGAGACATTCCGTCAGTGAATGGGAGGCCCACACAAGGGTGAAGATCGATAACGCGCTGCATTTGGAATGGAATAATTTGCACAGGTCCTCGAAAAGTACTAAATTCTCGAGTCCCGAAAAATTCAAGTGCCCAGAATGTCTTATACACATACGGAAATTCAAGTCCTCAAAATATTGCAATAGTGTATTTTCGTATAAATTCTTGAGACCCGAAAAAGTCAAGTTCCCAAAATGTCTTATACACTTAGATATACATGAATTTGAACGGATGGTGTTTTTGGCCTCTAGGGACTCAAAACGAAAAATTACATCGGTCCCGGGTCCAGGTGTTGCCATGAGTACTACGGTAAAAGCTTATTCCCTATATGCGAAATTCGCTAAAAACCTAATAATTCTATAGAATAACTAGCTGTACCCGCTGGCTTTACCCCGTTTAACTAATTAATTTTCAAGATGAGCTCGTTCGCATGGCTCAATCACGTCCTGGTTGAAGTTCGTTCGCTACGCTCACTCACCTTTAGGTTGGAGCTCGTTCGCTGAGCTCACTTGACTTGGGGTCAACTCGCCTCCAGGTTGAAGTTCGTTCGAAACGCTCACTCAGCTTTTGGTTGCAAATTAGCTGTTGTCATAAATTGTTTAATTGACACAGCTGTTAAGATTCATTAATTCCTTTTAAATATGAAAAATCATAAGGTTAACAGGGGAAACTCCAGAGCCACTGGGGCGAAGCTCGGATGCCCTATCATAATAAAAATTACTCAGTTTTCCTATTTAATGCCCAAAGAATCGGTGTATCGAATTTCAGCCTCCTAGGTAAATGGGAAGTAGGAGAATTAGTGATGATGAGCGAGTGTGTCAGTGAGGGCTTTGCCTTTTATAAGTATACATAACACATTCAACCAGCTGTTAGTTAAAACAAATTATATTGGACTAAAACAAATCGATGATTACAAAGAATACTTTAAAAAATCATTTGAACATCCTACTACTGTATTTTACTATGCATATTTAATTAATCTGCCATCCTCGTACCGAAGAATTAAATGTATCAATGGTCAGCATTACACATAGTATAAATAAGCCAACCAAAAGTATGTATTTGAATTTTCTTCCAAATGCTGAATTTGTGTCACAAATGCTGAATGTTGCAGCTGTCATGTTAAGCAAATTATGTTGTACTAAAAGCTAGCTAGAAGCATTGACTTATTGGAGAAGGTTAGCATCGGCTGCTAGACTTTTTAAAAACTAAAACTTAATTTATAAAAAACTGGGACACTAATTTTAAATTATAGCTTTGAAATTCCCTAGTTCTCAAAATTGTCTTTCTTTCAACACAAAACTAATGAAAATATATCGTCTGGTTGATTCAGAATCGTGAAAAAACCCCATTTACGTTTTAATAATATATATGATAGTTTGGACATGTTTCAACCCTTCCGAGGCGTAATACATTTATACAGTTTATATGTAGACTAAATTATAACTCATAAAATAGTTCTACAATTAAATGGATCTCCTTTTACAAACGTATATAATAACCAGAAATTTTCAGATCGTCCTTGCGGGTATTTTATGCCACAAATTTTGACGAAAGGCTATACCTATTTACAGTGTTGACCAAACAGTTGGCAAGAAGCATTAATAGATAAGCTATGTACCAAATATGATAATTTTAGCTCTATTCTAATTATGACAAAACACGAAGTAACTAAAAGCGAGTTTTGTTGGTGTAGTAAGCGTTGCAGGAGGTCTACTTTACACTGAATCGACGTTCACTTTTATTGCTTTTGATCTTCCGGCACTGTTGACTCAGCGAAACTGAACTTGTATTTTACCGTATTTCGTTATATTAAAACTGCTGTTGCATTAGGTCAAATTCCCAATAAGTCAATTGCTTTAACATAGACCACGTTTTTAGCTCGGACTGTATTATTTGACTTACTGGGACTTTTGATCTACAGACACTGCAAACATTGTAGTTTTTGACCTAGCGGCACAGGTATAAATTATTTGATCTTCCGGGACTGTTGACTTCCAGCAACATTCCCTTTCTTGTGCCAGTTACTCTTTACCATTCGGGTAAGCCTGATATCCTCACTAACAAATCCTAATAACCAATGCCTTTGTGCTCTATGTTACATCCTTAATAGACTATAAAGTCTGATCAGTGGCCAAGTGGACTAAGGGTTTGTCTCTCTGGCCAGGAAGTTGGCACTTAAGAGTCATAGGAGGCTAGTGGCCATCTTTGATTAATTTCAAACAGCTGCTGAAGAATTATTTCCCAACCCAAAGTATTTTTTTTTTTCAAATACCAAAGTCATATATTTCAAAGCTCTGTAAGCTCAGAAACTTTCTTTGTGGTCTTAATATTGTTTTCCAAGAGAGTCCTTGGAAGCTGACTCCATCTTGGATTTGCCAGCCTTAAGAGTAATGTTGATTTCAAACAATCGCTGAAGGGTTATTATTTACCAAGTCAAAATAGTTTTTAAATAAACAACGAGATAATTGAAATATCTAGGGCACTGTGAAATTAAAAATGGTTTTTTTAGAGTGTAATTGTTTTATGAGTTGAAACAGCTAGGCTCCAAGGACTCTTAAAATAAAGAATTTGAATCCCTTCTCAGTCAAGTTCGGTAAAAAACTCATTAGCAGTTCAACTGTCTGTAGCAGAGATTGGTAAAAGAGGCCAACATTAAATAAAGGGTGAATGGTTCAAGTGGAAGTTGAAAAGTGGAAAGAATTCTTCATAAGTTGCATACACCTTCAAAACTTTAAAATCAGGAATTGGGCTTTTACAGTTTGTGTGTGTGAGTGTGTGTGCACCGAAAACTTGTTTTTACTTTAATTTGGATTTGAATGTTCACAAGATGAATACAAAATATAATGAAATAGGCATAATAAAATCTATGAATAATCCATGAAATTCCAATTGTAAATACTAAGATAATGTTCAAATCAAACTACCAACGTCAAGCTGCCATTCTAGAGCTACTATCCACCTTGTGATGTACTTTACAGATCTTTCTACCCGACCCTTCGCTCAGATGAGAGAGGTCCTCAGTACGGACGATGTGGAGCACAGAGCAGACGAGAAGATAACAGAGTTGACCCCGACACAGGGAACTTCAGACAAGAGGAACACCACAACAGGTACGTTAAGATCCATTTCAAACGTTAGCTTGTCAAACAAGCAGCTTTACCTGAGCTTTTGAACAGCAGTGGGCAGCGTAAATTACAATCATAGGGGTCAAATACGTAGACCGAAAAACAGACCTAAAGACATCAAGATAAGACTATAAAACTTCTTGGGTTTTCTTTGGCTATAAAACTTAAAAATAACCAAAAATGTCACCATTCTATGCAATATACAGACAAAACTGTATTATTATTCACAACATTTCGGGCTATAGATAAACAATAGACCGATATCTCATTACCTCCCGCGGTAATGGCAATCAGTTCACAAATGTCCACTTGATTTTTTTAAATTGCCAGAATGCGTAATAGTATATTATGTTACTAATCCATAAAATAGGTGTTAAAATAGGTGTTCCCGTGATAGACGAAGTCGAGAGAGGGATTACCATACCAGTATGGTAAACACATTTTGGACGAGTGACATACAATATTTTTTGCCATACTACTCTTAACTTACCTAGCAATAAAAAACTGTACAAATCCGTTATACAGGGTGTCCATGAAAAACGTTTCAGGACTTTGGGAAATGAATCCTCATACTAAAAGGAAGAAAACAGTTTATGTGAAGGTATGTCCGAAAATGCATATTTACCGAGTTATCCACCATTTTGTTTTTTATACAAAAGTATTTTTATCTGTGAAGTTTTTCATTCGATGATTATGAAATTCGGTAACCAAGTTAACATACACAAGACCTATGATAGAAAAAATAATAAAGTTGTTCCGATTGTAAATTTCAAAATGGCGGCCGTTTGAATTTTTCCAACTAGAATAACTCAAAAACGGCTTATTTTATGAAAAGATGTTAAGAATACTTTTTTTTAGTATTTTTAATTCCCTATCAAACGGTACCAACATCGAAAAGATTGGACAAAAGATAACTGAAATATAAAGTTTTTTGTATAAAAATAAGGCAAAGTTAGTCGGGTAACCCTTAATTTTGCCTTATTTTTACACAAAAAAACGTTTTATTTCAGTTCAGTTCAGTTTCGGTGCATTTAAGTGTGTTTGAGGTGTTCTGGTAAAAACATATTTTAAAACATTTAGTAACTGAAACTTTTGAGGAAGCTTTTGAAAACTGTAATTCAATTGATGTTCTAAATGGCTGGTTTATTTATGGGGTATGCCTGTTAATTGTTTTGCTTTAACGTTTTAAGGTTCAATCTTTAACACATTAACTTTTACTTCTCATTGCCCTACTTGTTTGTTACATTGCAGATGTGAAGGCAAGAGGGGGTTTGTGTTGTGGGTGGACGGTTCGTGTCAACAGCTGTATGCTCGAGGTCCGTGCCCCGCTGGACAGTGGCTAGTCCCCTCCAAAGGACAGCGTCAGGGTCGTGGAGAGGGGAGTGGGGGAAGATGTGAATGTCTCCCCTCCTTCACCCCCTCCGTCGACCCTGCGAGTAGAGAACTTATCTGTCATCCACCCTCTGTAACTATCGCTAGATACCTCAACAAACTAGCTGCTGATGCGGCGTGATCAACCAAAAATTGTCTTGTTTCAGGAAAATTAAAACTGGTTCAGAAATTTTAATGTTCTACTAGGTAATAAGATTAGATTCAAGCCAAATCTTATAAAAGCATGCACATGCACAATGCTTCATAGCATACACTAAAATTATAAGCTAGCAGATTCCAAATGTAAAATAATTTATATTGAAACTTTTGGTGATTTTAAATTGCTGGATTGAAAATCTGTTACCTATCTTTTGGCTTTTTATCAAGAATTTATGATAGTTAAATGAATGTTCATTAATTATTTAATAGCAGTTATTATTTTAAATTAGGTTTAAACCCTTTTAAATTTTACTCTAGTGTAACAATATGACTGTACCTGTTACCACTTAATCATAAGTAGGCCTATTTAATTCTAAACCCTTTATTGTATGAACATAACGTGATAATTCATAGGATATTTGTATATATATTTAAATATTATTTAATTTTTCTATCCAAAAACTGTCTTGTAATGATATAGCTCATAATATTTTAATTGTCAATGTTTTTTATATTTAGTGTATAAAGGCCCTTTTAACTAGACCATTTTAGTTAGCTATTATTTATAAATTTATGTACATAGCTGTAATTAAGCATAAAAATAAACTGATAAATGTTGATTGAAGACAAGAATTATTTTCATTCTAAACTCTTATTTCATTATTTTCTATGGATTATTTGCTGTAAAAATCATAAATTTCTAATTATGTTGGTTTTGAGTTCATTGGCTGTGTGTATTTTCAGGGCCGCCCTGAGGGCCCCGGGCGCTGTGGCCATGACGGTAAAATAGTAGTTTACGCAACCATTGTGTAAACAGTTGCGTACACTACTTTACCTACAACAGTGTTTTAATTTCTAAAAATCACTATGTAGGTACTCATAACTTCTAAAAAGGTTATGTTTTCGTTTATAACCTCTCGTTTGCCACTGACAGCGATGCAACGAAACATTGTACCAAACACTAATTGCACCACTCAATAATTAAATTGGCCTGAACAGCTGATTAGTTGAAGTTGGAATCATTGCAATTTTACTACTTCTCTCTCAATCCTTAAACCTCAAAGGTCCGTACCTGTGTTGTAATGAGTAAATCTATGCTGTTATGAATGTAAACAATGCTGTTATGTTAAACTTTTCAATTCCAAGAACTGAACTGAAACAGCTACTATAAAAACGGTCGTAGTCAAAAGCTTTAACAACGTTATTGCTGAACATATATTTTACAAGAAAATCATAAATATGTAATCAATGACAATCACTTCTCTAAAAAAGGGGCAATATGTAACTTTGGTTTTATTTATAAAATACATACTATAATTTAATATACAACCCGTAATTAATTATACAGTACAGCTTTTACAATATCTGGTATGTGCCTTTTTGGCAACCCTGCTCTCAGCAAACTGCAAATACACCCGCTTATTTCTAACCTCAAATTCAACGCCAATTTCTCACCATGAAATTGAACATATTTTATGTTGTCCATTGTTCGTATCGTAAAAGAAATGTTTTTTATTGATTTAGATTTTAGTTAGTAAAATTTTGATTTTGGAAAATAATATAGTAGTTTTTTCTTTAAAATATTTTGTAATATTTTTTATCAGTTTCAGCTCAAAAATTTAGTTTAAATAAAAATACATAATGTATCATTAAATGTATAGTTTTTATAGTGAAAAGAATGTAACAGAAACTTGGACATAAAATGACTATGAAATGTGAAGTTTTATGAAAAATTATCTAGAAATGAGTGTTCTTAATGATAACCGTGTACCCACAGATTAGAATTATCTGTTTAATACCTGCAGTAATGGTAATGGTATAACATTACAAACATTGTTTACATCGACCATCTATGGACCCATTCTTATGACTAAACATCACTACTGTATGTTTAAGCATAGACAAAAAGAATTAAATATAGACCGACAGCAGTGTCGCGGTTAGCATATGTTCTGGCGTCCACCGCTAGAAGTGCCGTGAAGTTACGGCGAGGAGACGACGACAACAGCGAATCGAACATCGAGCACGCTCTAGCGGCACATCGTGGAACCTTCCTTTTACAGTCAATATTTGTTCTTTTTGGCTATGTATGCTATAAGGTTTATAAAAATACTTTCAAAAGTACCCCTCGGGGCAGCCCTGGGTATTTTTTTACAATGCTTCTCTCAGGTACGTGACTATTGTATCTGACCTTTCCCCTTTAAAGTCGTCTTAGATTAAACTAACTCTATATGTAGGATTTGGGTGGCGTCGGCTACAGGTAAATTAGGGTAGAGTACAATATTATAATTGTACTTACTCAAGTTTCTTCTGTAGGTCAGCTATGAATCCTTCCAGACTTGCGATTCTGTGATCCCTGTTCTCCAGTTCCCTCTCCAGCTTCACATTCTGTTCTGTTTTTTCATCCAGTTTAAGCTGAAAAAATCATTTCAATACACCGTTGCTTATTTTTTATTGAGAAAAAATAAATAATTATTATTGTATAAATAAATACTTTTTAAATATTACTGAACAAAAAGTTACACCTAAATAACAGATGTTTTTGATGATAATACATCTGTTATTTAGAGCTGCATGGTTCAAATGACAAATAAAAATGGTACTGGTAGTCATATTAGAAGAAATTATTTGAAGGCAAAAAAAGGTTATCCATTTGATGATGTATAATGCCTGTTAAATTTTAGCTTGTATTAGAAAGTGCCAATCTTGGTCTTAATGGCAGTTCTATAATTGCAAAACATTTTGACTATTGATGGAACTAGACATGATATAGTTGTCGGACGTTTTCGAGTCAAAAAGTTAGTGGATTGAACCATCAATAGGCTGATGTAAATTTTTTATTTATGATCAAATACACCAACTTCTTAACCAAACCAGATCAATTTATTTATTTATTTATTTATTTTCCAATAATCACATAACATCATATTCAGACAGGTGATTCGTCATTGTTACAATATTTTATAGTCTCTATTATACTAAAATTATTCTAAAATAAATTTCATTGCTGAGCCTTAACATCTACATAGCTTCCATATATTCCTCCAATGAGAAGAAGGCCTTCTCCAAAAGAAAGTTTTTTAACTTCTTTTTGAATTTAGGGAATGAATCAGTGTCCCTAATTGAAGAAGGTAATTTGTTATATATTTTTGGGCCCATGTACTGAGGAGATAAATGGAATACTTTAAGTCTGTGTTGAACTGGTTTTATATTGTTTTTAAATCTAGTGTTGTGAGGATGGGCATGTTGATCTTCCATGAATGTGTCAAAATCACTTTTAACCATTAAAGCTAGTTTAAAGATATAAGAACTATACAAAGTAAGAATTTTAAACTGAATGAAAAACTCTTTACTGTGAGTAATTCGAGACACTTTCGCTAAGACTCTAACTGCTCTTTTTTGGAGGATAAAAATTTGTTCGGCATGACTAGAAGAACCCCATACCGTTAAACCGTAATTCATAATGGAAGAAAAATAAGCGTGGTATACTGCTAATTGTGTGTCTAAATTTGTAGTATGTCGAATTACCCGAAGAACAAGTATAGCTGATCTGAGTCTCTTTGATAGATTCTTAATGTTTGTTTGCCAATTAAGTTGCCAATCTATATCAATTCCAAGGTAATTAACTGAGTTTTGAGAATATATTGATGTTTGGTTTGAATTTACAACAATGTCTCTATTCTCATTAGCAACTGAAAAGTGAATTAGTTGTGTCTTTGACACATTCATAGATAGACCATTTACTGTGAACCAGTCCCCGAGGAGTTGAAACTCATTAGTAATTAAGTCTTGCTTAAAATCCAATGTTTTTTGTTCGGTGCAGATTAAAGCAGTATCATCTGCATATTGAAAAGTATGCATTTTTGTAACATTACATAAATCATTTACATAAATTAAAAATAAACAAGGTCCAAGAATGGAACCTTGAGGAACTCCGTAGGGTGTGTGAAAACTGATGTGACTAATTATTCTAAACTACAGCATGGTTTGTGATACATCAACTGACACAGTAACAAAGAAAAGAGAGTTTTCATCAGAGATGTTCTAATGTTTTGTGTATGTATTGTATTTCTTGTGTCAGTTTGGATTCTTTCCCATTCAAGTAATCCTTTTATCCTCACTGAAAATCTTAATACCGGAGAGAATAGAATTTCAGACACTAGTACAGTAAGTATAGTTCGGCCGCTTAGAAAGCGACCTCCTCCAGCATTGGTTTAGCATTAGCGCGCAGGTCGTTTTCTAAGCGGCCGAACTATAGCTTAATTCCATTATGTAATTTTTAAACACAATTAGGCTGATCCATACAGATGAGATGTAAATGACGTCACTCACCAGTAACGCATCCTTCTCCTGGTCTAGTCTACTCAGGTTATTCTTCAAACAGTTCTTCTCCTGGCGAGCTTCCTTGAGCTCCCAATCGCGTTTGTGAAGCTCGTCGTTCAGTTCGCTGACTCTGTCTAGTGCACTAGCGAGCTCTGCCTCTGTCTGGTGTAGCAGGTCTTGTGTTGTCCGTAGTTCACGTTCTGTCTGTTCATTGACCATTCTGTGAACAATTAATTCAATGGTTAAAAACAACCCTGGTTATAATTGAAAATAAAAATAAAAGTGATATTCCTATCCAGTTCCATCCTCCAAAAGATTGAGTCTATTCCAATTTACCATTTGTTATTAGGTCATTGATTAACTCTACAAGTGTAACAACTTTGTAAACACGAGAGATGGCTCACAGAGTTTCTTCCGGGTAATTAAGCCATAGACAATCAATGTCCGCCAACAGTCTGTCAACACAGTTTTAGACACAAGTTTCTGATTTCTTTTGCGTCCACACTAGCTAGCCAGTGTTTGCTAGTATGGCGGGGCGACTGAAGAGGATATGATTTTATCCTGTGCGTGCTTCATACTTCTAAAACCATGAAGCTGATGTTCCGAGGAAGAAACAATGGTGAACCCGCAAGTTTCTCAAGGAAGGTTGGTACTATGGTCATAAACTACTATCAGACCTTTGATTAAAAGATAACACAGGATTTAGTATTTTTTACAAGAATGACTCCAACAGATTTGCAGGTTCTCTCAAACGCGTTGTTGGGCCAAATCTATCAAAGACGTGTACTCGTACAAGGCTGCATTTTCAGCCCTTAACTCCACGCTGAGCACCTGTGCGGGTTTGGGTTGTATCCAGACACATCCACACCTGCAGACTTGAGACAAAAGACTTATCTTGTCTCCAGAAACACAGAGACTTGTGTGGCAATAGTCGGCAGACAATCTGCCGATTTTTAGGAGACATTGCTAGATACAAACGGCTATTTTACTGAAGTATATTGTTTGAGTCATTAAAAACAAAACGTAACCATCTCATGTTTGAGGAATGACTTTTAATCTTAAACAAAAAGTTATATATTGTGCTAAGTATATTGCTTTTGGTAACATATGCAAGCAGTTAGTCTATTTTTTTACAACACTATCTGTTTAAAACAAAAGATTTGTCAACTTTGTTAACGTTCTTTATCTTTTATACTCCAAGAAACTTGAACCCTGGAACTACATAAGTATGTGTGTTGAGTATGTCTCACTTGAAGTGGTTGCAGCGAGTACGTTGCTCGCTAGCCTCTGTCTGTAGTTCCCGAGCCCTGTCTTTACTCTGCCTTAACTCCTCCGACAGTCTAGAGATCTCATTGTTGAAGCCTCGACGTTCCACCTCAAACTGAGACACACAGCAGTCGAAATCCTTCTTGGCTTGCTCTAGACGAACCTCTTCACAGTGCTGGTGTTCCTTCAGCCTCTATATGAAACACTCATGCCATAAACGTATACAATACAATATGAATTTACCTAACCATCATTCATATCAAAGAAATAGAACTGGCCAAAGTTAAATGCTTTGTAGTGAAATGGGAAAACTCTGAATTTATACAATTTATAGATTTTTTTTGTAATTCCTTTATTAGAGTTTTCTGTCGATTTAAATGATTTAAGTGTTTTGTTTAGGGTAAATTGGGAATATGTTAAAAAAAGTTCAACTATTTAGAAAGGGCAAAATCTGTCCATCAGTTTTATATTTATCCATAAGGTTGGCATTGGGAAAGTACTTTATTCAAAGTTTGTGGTTCATAGCTCATAACAGTTAACAACAACATCAGGTGAAAATCTTCACAACGGGAGTGTGCCTTAGTTTGAAGTAAAAGTAATCTTTTGTAGAGTTATGAGACATAAAATACTATCAAAGTTGAAAATATACTCAATTTCAAGTATCGTAACACATATACTTGTATTTTTTTCTTCTTTTTTTTAAATCAACAGTATTGATGAATCCTCATAAATGAGCACCACAAAAATTTAGCAGAAGAAAGAATTATTTAATATACATAATATAATATATACAAAATACAGGACTAACAGGTATAAAATTCCTTATGATAAGTTTGCGCTGTTTGTAGCCTAAATTAGGATTGTTCTTTGTTTTTTTTGTTTTTTTTATGAATAATACCTTACCTTACCTCCTTGGCCACTCAAACCTAAGAAGGTTTTTGGCCTCGCCAACAAGTTGCCTCCACTGCTGCCTATCTGCCGCCATGTCAAGAGATGCCCCCACTCTGCATAGGTCCTTCTGGACTTGGTCTCTCCATCTCAACTTCGGTCTCCTAGCGGGCGAGTGCCTCGTGGTTGTCCATTGGCGATCTTCTTAAGCACACTTTCTTCTTCCCTTCTTTCTACATGGCCTGCCCATCTCAGTCGTCTACTCTTCACTATGGCTACAATGTCCGGTTCTTTGTACAGTTCTCGGAGCTCTCGGTTTTTTCTTATTCGCCACATACCTTCTTCGTTTATAGGTCCAAAAATCTTCCTCAAAATTTTGTTCTCAAAAATTATAAGTTTGTTTTCATGATTTTTAGTTAATGTCCAGGTTTCCGAACCATATAAAAGCACTGGTTGAATTAAAGTTTTATAGATTCCTAATTTTGTGTTTTTGGATAGTATTTTTGAACTAAATATTTTTGATACGCCCCAGAAACATTTGGTTGCTGCAATCAGTCTCTTTTCTATTTCTGTTCCTCTTTCGTTATTCCAGTTAACTGAGACTCCGAGGTATTTAAATTCGTTTACTCTTTCAAAATTATGGTTATTGACCCTAAAAGGTTCAGCTCCTTCAGTTTGGGTTCTTCCGACTTTCAGATATTTTGACTTCTCTTCACTTATCTTAAGTCCAATCTTGTTTGCTTCCCTTATAATAATCTCAGTAAGCTTACCTAGGTCCTCTTTTGATTCTGCAACTAATACAACATTATCCGCAAAAGCAAGTGTGTTTACTTTAGATCCGAGGTTTATTCCAGCTTCGATGTATTTAGTGCTTTTTAAGGTTTCTTCTATTGCAATATTGAAAAGAATTGGTGAAAGTCCATCCCCTTGTCTAACCCCTGAATGGGTTTGGAAGGTTTCTGAGTGTTCATTTTCTATCTTAACTTTACTTTTGGAACCTTCAACACACATCTTTGTCAAATTTATCAGTTTGTCGGGAATTCCGATTTTCTGCATTGTTTCCCAGAGTTTGGGTCTTTTTATGGTATCATAAGCTTTTACAAAGTCAATGAACAGGATATAACATTCTTTATTATATTCCCAATACTTTGATATTATCTCTCTAATCACAAAAATTTGATCCGTTGTTGAGCGTCCGCTGATGAAACCAGCTTGATGGTCTTCAATGAATTCTTCTGCATACGGTTTTATTCTGTTCAATAAAATCTTAGACAATATTTTGTAAGTTGAGTTAAGTAGGGATATTCCTCTAAAATTGCTACAAGTTTCTTTGTCTCCTTTTTTGTGGATAATATTAAAAAAATATAAGAACTAATTATTCACTACATTCTAAGTAGCCTACCTTGATGTCGTCTCTAAGTGCGTTGTTTTCATCTCGTAATCTCACACAATCCCCCTTGGCTGCTTCTCGCTCCATTTCCAGCTTGGTCACCAGTGCCTAGACACAAAGAGAATTTTAACAGGTTGGGTAAACAAATTAAAACTATACATTTACTATTAAAAATCAAGATCTTTAACCCTTTGAACCTCAACGGATTGTTTGTTGATTCGACTTACATAAACACTGCAGCTATTTATAACTGTGTAAAAGTTTGTAGCGTCAGCTGATGTTGTCTTAGCAACACATTATTATTATTCTTGTTATTTGTTTTCTAGAGGAATGTACACTTTGTAACTCTTCTAATAAATTATTGTCTTTCTTACTTATTTGGTTGTAAGTTTATTTGAACTACACAAACAACCACGACCAAAATTTTGAACCTGACTACAACTGTTATCTAAAGACTATTATTTTCTTTGAAGAGTTTTAACCTTTTATATTTCCTCAAATAACGATGTCATTAGAAGACTCAACTCGCCGAACTTAGAACTGTGTCAACGGATTAATGTACACTTTGTAACTCTTCTAATAAATTATTTTCTTTCTTACTTATTTGGTTGTAAGTTTATTTGAACTACACACACAACCACGACCAAAAGTTCGACCTAGTTAAACGGCAAAGTTTTGGTGAGTCGGTGGCTCAGTCTGTAGCGCCAAGGACTGTCTTGGGTTCGGATTTTGGTACCTGTACTAGTTTTTATAAGTACAGTTCACCCTCTTGTAAGAGATCATACTTTGCTTAACTGGATATGTTCCAGTGCCACGCACAGGTCAGAGGCTTATTTGTACGGGCAAATGCAATGTTAAAAAAGCCGTCAACTTCTTGAAAAAAGGACAAACAAAAAACTATACTCATTGAGTAGCTTTTCCCTTAACTGGCAAGACCCAAAACATATTAGGTATGAGAATAGAGGATATAGATTTACCTGTGCCTATTTTTGTAATAAAAACCTCAAATTCTTATAAAAACTAGTTTTTCGAGAACACAAAATATAGAAAGGTAAAGTAACAAAATGTCTGCTCAAGTACAAATAAATAAAAAACCATCCATCCTATAGACTTGTTGGAACACCCAAACACCTAATCTAAGGTCCTGTTCATTTAAAGTGAACCTTTCTTACCTAGCTATGCCACAAACTAGTGAAGTGCTCATGCAAGATTTGACCTGATCAATACGGGATTCAAATTTCAATCTACGATGCTGTCTCATATTACACTAATAATTCTGGCCAAACCTAAAGCCTAGTTAGATTCTCAGGTTGTACCACATGTCAGGTAGGCTATATCTTTCAGCTATCTTTGTTGACTTGAGTTCGTACAAAGTGATTATTGACAGTGAAAGTATATGATATATCTTCTTTGTTTTCTAAAATGTTAACATTGTGGGGTTTTCATAAATATTATGAATTTCTGTCAAAACTCAATTTTAAGTATGATGTTGAACCCCTTGTAAAGGAAAATACAGTACAACCCCACTAATCCGTCCTCGGCTAGTCCGACTCCTCTCTTTATCCAACTGTGTCGTCGCCTATCAGTGACAGTGTATAATTGCAGCAATATTGTGGCTAATTGCCATAGTCGGGTAGAAATCATCACTGGTTTCTGTAATTGTTGCAAAAATCTTTTTTATCCCCTGTGATCACGGAAACATCATCATCGTTTTCTGTGATCAAGTCAAAACATTGAACATCTCCCATGGTCATGGAAACATCATCATCGTCTCCCATGATTGTGGCAAAACATTAACCCTAGAGCTGGCGGTAGTGTAACACTGTACTGGCATAGGGATATTATTGATTATGTAATATCATTTTTAAACCATCATAAAAATTAGAAATAGCAACATAACTATGGATTGTTATATATCATTTTGTTCAGAATAAGACAAAGAACAATATTATAGGTGATTTTCATGAATACCAAAAAAAAAAGTTTTTTTAGTTTTTCCAAATTGTGGGCATTATTATTTTTTTTTATAAAATGTTTTTATATTCCGTCGTATAGCTAAGTGCATGTAAGACTTAGCATCATAAGGTAAATTGTAAAGTTGTGGTAAATTTTGTGCTGATTCAAAAAATATATAGTTTATATAGCTTATTTTGTGTATTTTGTTTGGTAGCCCTATTACTATGTCGATCGTACCCCCGCGCTAGCACCAAATAATCACCCAACCCAGGTCATGTACAAATCCCTACACCTTATATAATATATAATTCCAGGTTACTCTGGTTTGTATTATTTAACTTATTTATTACAACAGTAGCCCAAAAAAGTTAATAAAACTAAAAAAAAAAAAAAAAATTCTATATAGGCGAACATTGGCGCCGTATATCCGGCGTCGCCATTTCGGCCGCGGCCGTTCGCGCCGTATATCCGGCGTTTGCCAGCGCTAGGGTTAAACTTCTCCCGCAGTCACAGTAACATTATCATTGTCTTAGGCAATCGTGCAAGATCAATAAATTTCAGTAAAACAATTAATTTTGTACTTTAATATGCTCCTTGGATAATCTATCTATTGACTGTTCCAACCATGGTCCCAGTCCCGTAAACGGATGAATGGAGTTGTACTGTACACATGTTTTTCAATGTATTAAATACAAAATTGAGATCTGTTTTGAACATCAATACCTGGCTCATTCCGCTACCACTACACCTGTTGCACTCATACTCTCTTATTTTTTCTCTTAAACACAAGTTTTCTTCTTCCTTTTCATTGTATTTCCTCTTCAATAATGAGTACTGAAACAAATAATTCAGCTTGTGATTAGATTATACTATTTTATGTAGCCGATTCTGATGCAGCATACCTTATGGCAAGGATAAATGAAACATGAGTGTTACCTATTTAAAATTTGTTTTATAACTGTAAAATAATGAATTAAAAACAACACATTGATGATGTGTTTTCACTTTCCTTAACCCTCCCAGTGTTACTTGACGAAAATTCGACAAGCAGCACACTTTGTGTAGTGTTACTTGTCGATTTTTCGACACGCAGACATCGTTTACGGCGAAGGCTCTATGACTGACTGAATCGGATTGAACTGGATCGAGTTAGGTATCGTTCTTTCCGTAATATTCTAAGCTTTCTCCAGAGGTCTGTCTCAGCGCTGTATGTTCTCTATACCGATCGTAATTGTAGCAGACAGCTGACGTGCGTGTCGTGCGTGTATTTGTAAACAGCTAGGTTACCCTCGGACCGATGACTGATGTGTTTTATTACGTTTATCATTGTTTTAGTGTTAAAAATCAAAAGTAGTGATATACGTGGTGCATTATAAGAAGATTTAAGTGGTTTTGAAGTGCTGGTTGATGATCCTGAAGAAGTAGGTAGTGATATTGATGTAAATTATCAGCCAGATTCCTAGCTATGGTTAGGCTATGCATTCTTAGCTAAACGCTATGTACTGAAATCTGTTTTTTGCCCATAACTTATTTATTTGCAAATCTACTTCCTTATATTATTATATATTTGTAATCCTCATAAAATTTAGAACAAAGTGGCTATTTTCAAATATTTATAGGCCTATAATTTATACAATTTCATTGAGCGCAAACTTATTTTTTTTTTTAAATTTTTGAAATTATATTTTTTTTTACCTAAAAAAATTTTTTTTTTTAAATGTTCCTTATGTTTTATATATAATATTGAAGCCCATGATTTTCCAAACAAAATGGTATATAGAACATTAGAATTAACATTGTTTTAAGCTTCTCAGATCCGTTTTAACCCTCCCAGTGTTACTTGACGAAAATTCGGCAAGCACCACACTTTGTATAGTGTTACTTGCCGATTTTTCGACAAGCAGACATCGTTTACGGCGAAGGCTCTATAACTGACTGAATCGGATTTAACTGGATCGAGTTAGGTATCGTTCTTTCCGTTACATTCTAAGCTGTCTCCAGATGTCTGTCTCAGCGCTGTATTTTTCTCCTAGCCGATCATAATTGATGCAGACAGCTGACGTGCGTGTATTTGTAAACAGCTAGGTTCCCCCGGACCGATGACTGATGTGTTTTATTACGTTTATCATTGTTTTAGTGTTAAAAATCAAAAGTAGTGATATACGTGGTGCATTATAAGAAGATTTATGTGGTTTTGAAGTGCTGGTTGATGATCCTGAAGAAGTAGGTAGTGATATTGATGTAAATTATCAGCCAGATTCCTAGCTATGGTTAGGCTATGCATTCTTAGCTAAACGCTATGTACTGAAATCAGTTTTTTGCCCATAACTTATTTATTTGCAAATCTACTTCCTTATATTATTATATATTTGTAATCCTCATAAAATTTAGAACAAAGTGGCTATTTTCAAATATTTATAGGCCTATAATTTATACAATTTCATTGAGCGCGAACTTATTTTTTTTTTTGAAAATTTTTGAAATTATATTTTTTTTACCTAAAAATTTTTTTTTTTTAAATGTTCCTCATGTTTTATATATAATATTGAAGCCCATGATTTTCCAAACAAAATGGTATATAGAACATTAGAATTAACATTGTTTTAAGCTTCTCAGATCCGTTTTAATAAAACCTTGCAAATGCGCCAAAAATAGGTGGACATTAAGGCCTAAACTATGGACACTTGGAGGGTTAATAAAACCTTGCAAATGCGCCAAAAATAGGTGGACATTAAGGCCTAAACTATGGACACTTGGAGGGTTAATTAAATAAACCTTACCTTTGCAGTCATATTTGACATAATAGATTAATTTAATTAATTTAGAAGTAGGTATTTTGATATTTATTTGCAGTTATATCTTTCAAAATACAAACCATTGAATTAATGTTATTTTAACCTTTAAAAACAATAAAATAAATAAATAATTAGCTTTAACATAAAAAACAGTCTGAATTAAATACAGCTGGGGATCATTTTTTACTTTAAAACCTGTTTTACTAAGTTATGAACAGACTTGCAGCTAAGTTTAAAGCTTATCTATAAGTATAAAAGAGGATGTTTGTATATATATATATGTATGTTTGGCAGTGATAAACTCAGACACCGCTGAACCGATTGCCACGAAACTTGGTACATACGTGTAGAATTTCATGGAATAGGTTTATACACCATCGATTTCGTGATCCGTCCAATCGGCTCCGCCCAAGTGGCTCTGGAGTTTCCCATGTTAACCTTATGAGAAATGGAATTAGTGAATCTTAACAGCTGTTTCAATTAAACAAGTTGGTTCTGTTCTATGATGTTCAATAGCATTAAAGTTACAAGGATTACCAACAGGGTGCAGCACTATTATTTCTTTTACATTTATGAAAACAGCTAATTTGCAACCAAAAGGTGAGTGAGCATAGCGAACAAACTTCAACCTGGAGGCGAGTTAGCGTAGTGAACGAGCTAACCTGAAGGCAAGTGAGCGTAGCGAACGAGCTAACCTGAAGGCAAGTGAGCGCAGCGAACGAGCTCCAACCTAAAGGTGAGTGAGCGTAGCGAACGAGCTCCAATCTAAAGGTGAGTGAGCGTAGCGAACAAACTTCAACCAGGACGTGATTGAGCCATGCAAACGAGATCATCTTGAATATTAAGAAGTTAAACGGGGCAAAGCCCGCGGGTTACAGCTAGTAAAGTATATATTGTATTATAAACACACACGTGGGAGAAATTGGGATCGACCCATAAGAAATAAACTGTGACGTCAATAAGATCTGCTCACTACACAGATCTGAACTGGATCCTGACTGTCAGATAGTCACTTGACTTGTTGCTTCTTTATAGTTTTGTGAGTCACGAAGGAAGCACTAACATTTTTACAGCTGCTTCTCAATGCTGTCCGTCTAAGTGTGATTTTACTGTTTCCACTAAAAATCTTTTGAATATCCCTGAAATCTTTGACAAGTACGAGGTTGTGATATAATATCATTTGGTTAGCACTTAAAACAGTAAAAGCATTATTTGGAAGAATGTAGGATTTAGTGATGTATCAAAACATGCAAATCCTCAAAACTTTAGAAAGGTTTCAGTTTCAAGATTTTAAGTTTTTTTTTTAATAAAAGGGAAAAAGCAACTTGGCTTTAGAATTATTGTTAACACGTTTAGTACGGCAAACCTTCAAACAGGCGCTCGCCAATGGCGGTGAGGCCCGGGCGTAGCCACGCGCTTGTAACTGAATCGGTGAACGCAATTGGCATTCAAATATTTCAGTCTGACGAATAAAAATAGAGCAGCGGTCATGGTGCTGCGTTAGCCCGAGAGTGGACGTAGTTCACTGAAACGCCCAAAAGTAGCAGCACTGCTTGGATCCGTAGCCAGTGGTGCTGGTTTAGCGGGGCGTAAATTCCCGCCCCTAGCAACGAACGTGTTAAGGTGAAAGGAAGGGTAAACAACTAACTCGCCTGAATAAAGAGTCCCAGGAGGTTAATAATAGAACACATAAAAGTTACACATTAAACTGATATTTCGCCCCTTTCAGAGGCTTCTTCAGAGGTAGAAGGTAGAATAGCAGTTACAGTTCTGGCACTGTTTTAAATATCTGGATGGAATTTAAAACAGTGAGTTTGAAGATGAAGGGTGGGATTGACTTGAATGAACGATCCAGAAACTTTGGGCATGAGAATGGTATTTTTTAATTTTCAGTTTTTTTTTCAAATTCTAACCCTTTAAAGATGGAAATGCCCAATTATATTCACTGTGTAGAGCTTAAAAAAGAATACTTTTATATATTAAGCGCTGTTGTAAAACTTAACATTACAGAGAAAATTATCAAAAAGTGCACCTTTAGGATTCTTATGTTATTCGTATGAAGAAAAAGAAAACTGTTACAGTTTGCTTGCCAATTCATGATTTCACCAATACTATGCATGTAGTAATGACAAAGTCTATGATCCCAAAGTCTCCTGTGCGTTTGACCCTGGATTGGGCAATGCAACTTTTTTTGTATTAACTGATTGAAATAATTAAAATCACAAAGTTCATATAAATCAAGTAATCTTATGACCAATTATTATCAATTATCAATCAATCATTGAGATGGGGACGCCACCTTGGTGTGTATTTTAACCCAAATATGAGTTAAGGATGAGTGTGTGAGATGATGTGTGTAGCTTTGTTAGGGACTAAGATCAACTAAGTAATTAGCCAGGATAATTTATTTTTAAAGCCTAATGATCAGGGATACCAGGACTAAATGACCTAATGATTGGGGGGGGGGGGGTACAGTTTTGAACCATCAAAAAGCTACTGACTTCTCAGAATTTAACCCATAGACTATGTTAATTGGCTATTTCCAATGCACTGCAGATACATCACTATATAAATACCATTCTATTAGTCAGTTTTTGAGCCAATAGAGTCTGCTTCTGTACTGTTCCATTTTATATACACCAATTGTTTAATTGGAGTAATACATTTAGATACAGTTGTTTGATATAGGTACAGTATATGGCATGTCTACTTCCGTATCCAAAATCCAAAGCTAGTAATATTTACGTCTGAGTGGTTCTGCTCCAAGTTTCTTATCTTGTCTTGCATTCGGGCAAGCTCGTCTTCCTTCAAATGTAACTTTCTCCAAAGTTCAGAGTTCTGAAAATGAAACTCGATATACACATAATAATTAAGATGTTAATAAAATTAGCAAATAAAAATTATGTATATTTAATAACTTAGAATTTAGGATGAAGTGTAATTTTACATTATGTGTATAGAATCTTCTTTGTGTAACTTTATTACCGTACTTTCAAAATGGTAGTCACCTGAGATGTTTAGTATTGAATTGAATAAAAAATTGATGAACTTTTGTGAACTAAAATTATGTTGATAGCTAAATTTCACTTTAATACTTACTGTTAAGGCAAAATCCATAGGCATCGGGTTTCTCTCCAAATCGCGAATTTTTTCTCTTAGTGTCAAAATTTCTTCTTCTTTTAGATTCAGCTTTCTCCAAAGATCACTGACTTGCTAGATTAAAAAACACAAAAGAATAATTTAAAGCACTTTCATATTTTAATAAAGTTTATGATCAAAATAAGAGAATGGGAGGTAATAGATCAATTTGCACACGGCTAAATCCTGAATAGACCTCATGCGGTTGTGTAGTAATTATTATTGTCTTCTGTGATCGCGACAACATTTTAATTATCTCCCGAATTTATGTAGACATCTTATCTCCCGCATCCATGTAGACATCATTATCGTTTTCCACAGTCACAGAAACGCTATCATTGTCTTGAGTGATTGTGGCAAATTCACAAACAATTTTCAGAAGTGGAAACATTATTGTCATATTCTGCGATCACGGCAAAATTCTGTTTATCTCCCGAGGCCGTATACACATTATCATTGACTCCCGGGGTCACGAAAACGTATTCGTCAACTTGTGAGATCACGCCAAAATCATGAAAATCTCCTGCGGCCGTCTTAAAGAATCATTGTCTCACACGGTCACGGAAACATGATTGTCATTTTGTGCGATCGCAGAAAATCATGAATATTTAATAGATTTCACATGGTCCATGCAATTGCCGACTGTTAAATAAATAAAGACTAAATCCTGACAGTTCAAGACCATTTTGAAATTCAATACTCAAAAATCAAATCAAATCAAAACATACTTTATTTCCAAAAATATTGCAGAATATAAATTACTAGCAGAGTACCCGTCCTTCGTACGGGGTTTAAGTATAAAATGCTTATTGCAGTTATACTCAAGCTTTGCAATTGCAATGGGTGGAGGACACAGTTTGATAAAATTTGCTTTTTTTAAATTTACAGTATTCTATAGTATTGCACATCTACCATAGCCATAATGTTCTACCATTTTACCTAAACAATAGAGAAAAATAAATTATCAATTCGCAAAATATCACAAATTATTCATGAAATTAAAAACATATACATAACTGTAAACAATCCTACTTTGACAGTTCTCATTGCGAATCACAGTTTTTTGTTGCTGCTTAGTTCAAATTAGCTGTTTTCAGAAATGCAAAAAAAATATAGTGCTGCACCCTGTTGGTAAATCTTATAACTTTTTAATGCTTTTCCATATCATAGAACCAACTTTTTTAGTTGAAACAGCTGACTAAATTCTTTAATTCCCTTTAAATATGAATACTCATAAGGTTAACATGGGGAATTACAGAGCCACTGGGGCGGAGCCCGAAAGGATTTTTGAGATAAGAATATGCCTATATGTTAATCGGGAATGTAAGCTATCATCATGCCAAATTTCAGCCCAATCCGTCCAGTGGTTTATGCGTGATTGAACTTCAAACAAACAAACAAACACACAAACTTTCACATTTATAATATTAGTAAGATAACATAACTTCCAGTGAAACAGATTACTATTGCATAGATAAAAATAATTAAATATAAAAATACATGTAAACTTAATAATAACAACAAAGGATGTAAGGTCTCAGAGAAGCTATGTTGACATATACATTAAGGAAATAAGCCTACATGGGCTGGAAGCCTGTGCGTAGGCTCAGTCGCTATCAGTGACTTACGTTTTTGTTGGAAAACAAAAATATTCATAAATATTCAGAAAATCTTAAAAAACAAATAATTTAATATAATTGTAAAACTATTCTGAGGCTAAATTAGTGAATGAGCAATTTGAGGAATGAGGCAAGGCGGAGGGCACAGACATAAATATAGTTAAGAATGTTCGGTGTTAGTAATTCAGTTATTCAGTAAAGATTACGAGAGAATAAAGTAGGGTCAAGTCTGTCTGTACTCAGCTTTGATCCAATCACAACAGACTAACTTATTAACTTTGGGGGGGGGGGTATACTAATCCCCGACTTTCCCGTTTTTCCTGAATATTAGACATCCTGATAGAATATCAATATTATACTTATTCATATACTGTAGGCGAGAGTTAAGAAGTCCTCTGAGCCCTGGCCTATTCTAAAAATGTAGGCGCTTGCTACTCGACGGCTAGGCGCGCCGTGCAGGTTCCACGCGGCAGTCAAGGCTCACATACACTGTGTTAAAACGAAAAGAGCACCTGCAAATACTGCGCGGCAACATACAAACATTGCTGCATATCACTCTGGCTCGGAGGACTTCTTAACTCTCGCCCACAGTAGCTTGTTTGTTGTTGTCAGTTATGGGTTTTCTTCATTTTGGTATGGTTATAAAGACACCTTTACAGTGAGAGGTGTATCAAAACGTGTTTAAGTATGATTACATAATGATAGAATGTCAAAGCTAAATCATAATACAGTAGACTCCCGATTATCCACGAGGGGATTACCCTAGTGGAAGACATCAATAGAAATCAATAGAAAAAATCTATTGATATCACTAGATGCTTAGTGATATCAATAAATGTTCATGGATATCATTACAAGTAAATACAAACAAATAGACATCACTGAAAACTTAGTCAATACATATCACTAGACATCTATAAACATAAAATATATCAATATAGATCATTAGAGCAAACAAATCGTTCATTGATATCAATAGAGAATATTTTTTTAAATATTAGTTGTAAATATAAATCAATAGACATCAATACAGGTAAATAAAATTCAAAATATCTCTAAAATTTATCACATATGAGCATTATGGATTATACAAAATATCAATGTAAAGTGGTTAAATAAACAGTAATAAAAATGTTATTTTTTTTAAAAAGGAAAAACTCTAGTTTTAGGTCATAAACGTTAGCTGAGGTACCTAAAACTCAATATAATTTAAAAATATATAATTTTAAAACTGTTGTAAAACAGTTACAACTTGTATTAAATCTTATTTTTTAAACTGCCAAAAACTGATTGCTAAACAATTTTAAAATTGTTGTAAAACAGTTTACAGCTTGTATTAAAACTAATTTTCTTAAACTTCAAAAAACCGATTGTAAAACAATTTTAAAATTGTTGTAAAACAGTTACAGCTCGTATTGAAACTTATTTTTTTCAACTGCAAAAAACTTATTGTTAAACATTTTTAAAATTGTTTCAATCTTACATCAATATTGTTGTAATATGAAGTTTAAATCAAAATGTTTTAAAATTGTTATACAACAATAGTAATACAGCTTTCGACAACTTTTAACAATTTCTTTCTTAATGGGTTATTGTTAGGGATAAAAATCACTCACAAATTCATCATTAAATTCCTTATTTCTAGAAATCAATAAAAATTAATTGTATTGACACTATTCACATCACCCAAGTAGCAATAAAACAGTTTGAACTGGTAATAAAACAGTTTTGAAACATGTTAAAGCATAATTACATGCATAGGTACATGCTTGAAATGACACAAATGCCATTGAAAAATCTTTCAAGTTTAATTATGAGGCCTAACACAGCTTCTCGCATTCAAAGTGGCTATCATTACTTAATCTGACATGAAGCGTCCGTGGCGTAATGGCTTAGACAACCGGCTACAATGCTGGAGTCCCAGGTTCAAATCACGGGAAGACCAAGAGCTTTTTGACAAGAATTTTATAACTTTTTCATTTTTATTTTATTTTTAGTGCATAGTAGATGTGATTCAATGTGTTGAAACAAATTAAAAATAGTTTTTTAACAAGCTACAAATTATTTTCAATTAAGCTAATGACTCGGATCCTATATTTACTTGTATTGATATGTATTGATGTGTATTGATGTGTATTGGCCCAAATACACATACGTATCAATATAAAATTTTTGTATTGATATATATTGATCTCTTCCACTAGGGTAACCATGCTGCGGATCACAATTGCAAAAAGTCCAAATCAAAAATAGATTATGCAAGTTAAATGTAGGCTATGATATACAGTGAAGTAGATATAATACCAGAATATGACCCCACTTTCGGCGTTTTTGGACCTAGGACTTTTGAATTTTTTTGGTGAAAAAACACCCAAAATAGGTAAAATATGGTGGTTTTACCCTATTTTTGGCGTTTTAGAGGCTATATGGGGGCATTTTTTGGTTAAAAAATGTTATTAATACTGAAAAAACAAGCCTGGAAATGAAGAGCTTTTTTTGACCACTTTTTTTAAAACCCAGCTCTCGGCACGTGAACTCGGATGCGCTCCCGACCCATAGGTTACTTCTGATCCCCAGCGATGACAAACTAAAAGTCTTATGAAAAAATGTTAGAAACAAAAATTGAGGAACATCTAATCATCTATACTTCTTCCACTGAAAGTTTTTCTCTGACCGAAAAATAAAAAAAATCCTCGCTTACTTACTTTTTCATGTTTGCTTTGAGTAACCTTTTTATATTTTCCTTAATTAATAATTATACAGTGGCATAAATTAAATTATATTTATATTGTATTAAACAGTAGTTTATGTAGAATTTTAATATATCAATTTTATGCTATAAATATTTTTTTTAGAAGCTAGACAAACATGTAAGTGATAGAAGGCGCATCACTTTGAACATCGTCATGCCCCCGACAGTGCCGTGCTGGTAATACCTAGAGTTTGAAACTATTGCTATTGTTGAAATTATATTATAACACATTTACATACAAAAGAAACTGGTAAATGGTTTTAAATTGTTTAACTTTTTATGCTGTATTATTATGTTGAAGGCTATTTTGGTTGCTGGAATTTTAGCTGTTTTGTTGTATATCAAGCCTTTTTTTTAGATATAAGTATTTTTAAACAATAAATCAGACCTTTATTTACTAATGCTATTATTATATTACAATGCATTGGCATACAAATGAAAATGGTTTGATTTATTTGTACTCATATAAAATAATATAATTCTTATGAGTTATAGGGATGTCTGGTGATTAAATCACAAATTTAGAATATTTAATAATGGACTTTTAAAATAATGGAATTAAGTATAGACTTATAACATTTTCATGATAACTGTTTGATTTATTTGTACTCATTTAAAATAATGTTAAAATAGTATTTGATTTTTATGTTGTATTATTGTTTTTTGTTGTTTAAAAGTTGGAACTAACATAGTGTACCTAAATT